AAGGTTTCGTCCATGGCAGGCAGATGTTGAAGTCTGTCCTGATGATGCTCTCCCAACTGGCAACGGCTTCTTCTGATGCAACTCTCGACGCGATTAATAGCAGGGTCATCCTTCTACTTGATTTTCGAAAGGCATATGATACTGTGGACAGAAGCTTTCTTTACGAGGCGCTTCGACAATTTGGATTTGGGGAACGATATATTCAGCTAATTACTCGGCTGCATGAAGGGACTACGGCTACATTCCTCGTAAATGGGGAACGGTCCAGTCCAATATCCGTCGTGTCAGGAATTCGGCAAGGCTGCCCTCTGGCCCCTTTGCTATTCCTCGTGGTGGTCGAGTTGTTGGGAATTGCAGTTCAGCAGTCTCCCACCTTGAAAGGACTCCCGGTACCAGGTAGCCGTACTCAAACGCACCGCTTCTCAGCGTTTGTCGACGACTCCACGATTTTTCTCGAGCAAGCGAATCAGCTGGCACCGGCTCTTGCCCTCGTATCACGCTTTGGAGCCTTATCTGGACTGGAAGCCCAGCCGTCAAAGAGCAAAATCATACTCTTGAACACAGGGGTGCAGATGCGAGAAATGGTTGGCATTTCGGTGCTACACCAGACAGAAACAGTAAGGTACCTGGGCTATGAGGTTGGTCTTGGTGCCTTACATAACCGCAATTGGGCTTTAAGGATTCGAAGGCTTCAACGGCGGCTAATCACAGCTTCCAGGGTCGCGACTAGTGTGGAGAATCGAGTGTTGATTCTAAACTCCATCATTCTTCCATCCATTTTATTCACGGCAGCGGTATTCGACATCCCAGAATGGGCGAGGCAGGCAATCCAAAATTTGTACAAACAATTTTTGTGGGCTCATGCCACTTCGACAGAATCTAGCAGGCACAAGATCAACCCAGGACTGCTATTCACTCCGAAACACGCAGGCGGAGTAGGGCTGGCTTCATTCGAGGTCGCAATCAAAACTCAGCACACGAAACATGCACTGCGGTGGCTAACGCAAGCCCAGGACAAGTATTTTGCCTCTTGGTGTCACTGGGCTTATCAAGGTAGGCTAACTTCCTCATCCCTGGTCCTGTATGGAAGGGGTATACCAGGGATAACATCTTCTTGCACTTCGAAGCCGTCGAAACCTGCATGGATACAAGACATGGACAAGCTTTTGCAACCCACGACGGAGCAATTGAATTTTATTCGAGATCGCGTCCGCATGCACTATTCGACTTTGCTCGAAGGAGCCAGTAGCTGGTGGGAAGAAGATGAATGGGTATTATCTTACCATCACCCTTTTCCGGAAGCATTAGCATCCAACGACGTCCAAGTACTGGCTTTGCACCGCTTTTGGGGAACGTTCGGATGGAGTAACAATTCGTGGATTCGCGACGGGCAGGGTCGGCAGCTTGTACGCTCCAAATACGACCGGATAGCTGACTGCTCCATCTCGGACTTGCACATTCGCAGAACCGGACCGAAAGAGTTTATCTTCAGTATCTCACTGGCTGGACCTGCCTCTAAGCATCACTATCAGCCGAAGTTAAGGCGCTGGGCTACATCTATCTTGCTCGCTTCGCCTTCTATTCGAATTGGGTCGGAACTAGCGCTGGAACCGAAGTTAGCACTTCGTCATGCGCCTCCGTTTCGGTATCATTTTGACTTTTCGACGGTGCGACATGGTTACGTCGTCGGGAATAGACGGGAGTCTGCGGATAACGGGTGTGAGCACGTCAAATTGCGGCAAAGTGCCGACGGATTTAGATGGTTTTTTACCACATCATTACCTGAGTTGGTTACTGAAACTGTCGCTGAGAGGGACATTTGGATGAGCCGACTGCGGTTACATGGTGTCGTGTTTTATTCACATCCTGATCATCATCGATTTCCCTGGGCTGTGGCCAACACGGTGGCGAACGTTTCGATAAGGGCGACAATTGCCCGGCTAGCGTTCAGACTTCACAAACGACTGCTTGCTGTCCCTTTGAAAGGGCTGATCCAACGGTTGAAACAAGTCATCAGCAAGGATGGCTGGTTGCTTGCAGCAGCTCATCAACGCCCGTCTCAAGTTTGGAACCATACTAATGGCCTTTCGGATTTTCAAGTCTGGACTTGCTACAGAATCGCCACTAATCAACTTAACCTCTACCATGATGGTCGTCGCGCTGACAACAGCTGTCGAGCGCTGATGGAGTGTTGGGGGCGTAAAGAAACGTCGGCTCACATCTTTTGGGAATGTCCAAAGGCGCGCGCCTGCTGGAGGCGACTTATCTGTCACTGGACGGGTCTCCGAGATGTGAGGTCTGTTGATGAGACCTGGTTTTTGGCAGTGTGAATCGTCAGGCTCCTGCTGTAACGGGGCACCCTGAAGCTTGTACTGGTGACAGTACAAGCTACTTATTCTGATGACAGAATAAGGCGGTGCCTCGTAACTTCACGTACACTCGTACGTGCAGAGGAAGACGGTAAGAAGAAGCGAGTACTCGGTTAGAGTAAAAAGTAGAACTGTATTTATAATAGTTAATGTCTGCAATAAATCACTATTTATCTTCATCTAACTATGTCTAAATACAAATGTGTAAATCAACTATCTGCTCACCACTCATTGCGTGCGTCTGTCGTGGCGCGTCTTCGTTGGTTGATATAATGGCCTATATCAACCAATTAGGGACTACTTGGAAGTGCTACAGAATATTGTCCTTATGACAATATTCTGAGAATACAACTCTTATAGTTATATTCTATTAACAATTTCTTATAAATTGTTATGTAACGATTCACCCCGTTACATCACCCCCCTAACCATCAGTCACTTTAGTGACTGATTGACTAAATGGATACTCGTCCCAAATCATTTGGGACGGGGTTTGCACTTGTTGGTCCGCGTCCACTTTCCAACATCTCATCGCATGGTAAACAAGCCCATGCGATGCGCGAGCAAGGCCGCCGAGAGCGCGTCCGCACGTCTCTGGGTGGACGCCGAAGCAGAAACTACAGCAACTGATGCCTCATCGGTTGCTGAATCGACTCAGCCTGTATCACCTGGTGATGCAGGCGCTGGTCATGAAGACACTCGTGTCTTCACAAAGCACGAGCTCGGTGTCTCGTACTCTCCTGATACGGATGACGGATCCGTATCGACGGCAATTGAATCCAAGCCGCCTGCCAAGCGTGGCATGGACGATGCTTTGCGTCGCAGCATCTTTGGTTCATCTGATGAGTCAGATGAACCATCGCCGAAGCGAAGGCGCTCGAGGTCGCGAGACTCGGGCGCTAATAGTGGTGTCGTTTCTCCAATGGACACCACTTCACAGCGAGGTGCCAGTACTTCTGTCGGCACGTCGCAGGAAGAGCGGGACCGCAATGTGTTGCGTCTCGCTCCAGAAAAGAAGGCATGGATGCCTCCTAAATCTGTCATGGATCACTTGTCGGCGACGACGAGTGATCGTTATCGAACACGATTGTTCGATTCGTCAAGGATTCATCACCTTGACCCCAGCGCGAAGGACTATCGCGCTGAACATGAGTTCTTCATCGATGCTTTCTTCAGACATCGATGGTACAGTGGGAATCACAAACGTGATGGTCCCTCACTACTTCAGGCGTGGAACGCCTACATCCATAATCTCGAGGATGTAGGTCGTGACGCTTGGAACGACAAACTTATCAAAGCTCGTGATAAGTTTGAAAAGCGAACCCCGACAGGTGCACGCTACAAGCTGCATCGTCTGTCAAGGGAGAAAGGATTACCCTGCCTCTCTTGGGGAGACTCGTGCCCATGTTGTGTGAACAACTCTGCACGAGCACCTAAGGAGGCTTACCTCCTTACCAGCCCGTGGTGGCGCGTACGTGTCTCTACTGAGATGTACGAAGGGATTGACAACCTGAAATCCCTTTACGACCGTGCCGGGAAGACTTTCTCCGGCGGTCCTTCTGCGGCACAGGATGTGTCGCGTCGTACTGCTCGACCAGACCCAGTACGTCAACCATCAATTGGGAGCGGGGCTCCCAAGAATCCCAGGACGGGGGATAGCCGCGCCACCGGACGAGGTAACTCGTCCGACGTCCGTTCACGTCGCGGTGGTTCAACAGCTGCTCTACTAGATAGCGCTGGCCACCGCGAGAGTCCTCTAATGGAGGTGGAGGAGGAGGAAAGACGCTCTCCACACGATCATGTGGATCGGTGTGTTCCCGAGAGCTTCTTTGATCGCGTAACGCAAGGGTTACGCGACGATCTCGAGCATGAGCGGAATAGGCGTCTCCAGATGGTGGACACTGCCTCGAAGCATCGAGCTGAGTTTGCCTTTGCTCAGCTTGAGAACGAGAGATCTCTGACATCTCTTCGTGACGAGCTAAGGGTAGCTCGTGGGGATGTTGAGCGGTCTCGGGCTGAGATAACTGCTCTTCAGACCCTTGTTGATGCCCACCATCGGGAGCACAAGGCTCTCTGCGAGATGCTTGAGCGCAAGGGCGTTCTTCATCGGAAGAAGCAGCGTACTGATGGTACGGCTTAAGCCGACCAACGTAAAACGTGGGATGCGTTCGCATCTTACGTGGTAACTCGATCGTGTATGCATTGCCTAGGCGGTGCAATACACGAAATGGGCCAATGTACTTGGGTAGTAGTTTACTGCTACCCAAGTTAGTCACTACATGTTTTGGTAGATTAACCGTAGACAGTAGGACTAAGTCACCTTTATTAAATAAAAGAGTGTTTGCCCTTCCATTCTTGTCAGCGTTTTGCTTTTGCTTATCCACCGCTTCGGCGATGGAGTCTTGCACAAAACGGACTACCGTTTCACGAGCCAGTATGAACTCATCTGATGACTCGTTAGCTTCAGTGTGCTGTGAGCGCACTGCAGCGACAACAACCTTTTCTCCAGTGAGGGCTTCCGCACTCTCACTGGGATCATTGTCTTCAGTGAGGGCTTCCGCACTCTCACTGGCATCATCTTCTTCGATATCGATGTTATCGATATCGGCATCAAACGCAATGACTTCTTCGTCAGAGCGTGATGAGCGTGAACCAAATCGGTTTTTGCTCGCGCGAGTCCCTCCCCCTTAAACCAGAGTTACACTCTAGTAAGGTGGGTACACGCGGATGGCGCAAGCCATTCACGTAAAACGGTGTATGTGTCGTGGACGCATGCACCGAGTTGTTGATGGCAAACTCTACCATCGGCAAAAACTCACTCCAACTCTTAAAGGAGTGTACGTATCCTCGAAGTATCTCTTCAAGGACACGATTGGCACGTTCCGTCTGACCATCTGATTCTGGATGATCAGATGTTGACATCTTCAAGCGCGTTCCGAGTGATTTGAACACGGAACGCCAGAAATCAGCAGTGAATCGTGGATCTCTGTCTGATACGAGTTCACGGGGCAACCCATGAAGTCGGAAGATGGTGTCAATAAAGACACAAGCACAGCCACTTGCCGTGATTGTCTCTGGTACAGCCACAAGGTGTACCATTTTGCTGAATCTGTCAACAAATACGAGAATACCCGTATTCCCGCGTGCGTCTTTGGGTAACCCGAAGACGAAATCCATTGAGATGGATTCCCAGCACTCAGCCGGAACCGGTAGAGGCTGTAAAGGTGCACGCAGTGAAGGACTTGACTTCACTCGTTGGCAGACTTCGCATGCGCGAACATACTTTCGCACAAACTGATACTGGCGGGGCCAGTAAAAGTCTCGACTTACCGTGAGATATGTTTTCTCTCGGCCACGATGTCCTCCTATAGGAGCATCGTGATACTCGAACATGATCCGCAAACGCAGATCAGTATCATCTGGAATGACAACACGTGGTGTGTCACCAGAAACGGCTGTATAGTACAGTAAACCGTTACGAGTAGTGTATCGATCTGATGCAGATCGATACGCAGACGACAATCGTTTCAACGATTCTCGAGATGGTTGGGAGAGATGTGACAACAACTTCACTATCTCACCATCTTGGGCGTATGCCCGCCTCACATCATCATACAACGTTGTAGATGGAACTGAGGACGTCATAACCGCAACAGTGACTGTCTCACTGTTGGGTTTCGCGACTGTTTCAAAGTCGGGACGACGTGAGAGTGCATCAGCGACGACATTAAGTCGTCCTGGTTTGTACTCGACCGTAAAGTTGTATTCTGCAAAGAATGACAACCACCGCGCCATTCGTTGTGAAAGGTGCGGGCTGTTCACTGCCGTGCGTAAGGACGCATGGTCAGTGTAAACAACGAAGGGTCTATCTCCTAATAGATAGACTCTGAACTTCGCGAGTGCATACTTCATGGCAAGGAGTTCCTTGTCATGCACTGGATAGTTCCGCTCAGCTGGTTGCAGCTGACGCGACTGATAGCAGACGACGCGTTCAACGCCTTCAAGGTCGTACTGCATTAATGCACAGCCGATTGCGAAATCGCTGGCATCACAGACCACATGAAATGGCCTGTCCTGATCGGCTATTGCTAGGACTGGGGATTGTATCAAGCTCTGCTTGATACCCTCAAAGGAGCGTTGACATTCAGCGTTCCATAACCACCTCTCGTTCTTTTTCAACAAACGAGAGAGGTGTACAGTCATCTCGGCGTAATTGCGTGAATACTTATGCAAATACGCCGCTAGCCCAAGGAATTTTCGAAGACCTTTGACATCGACCGGCACGGGCCAGTCGGTGATCGCCTTGATCTTTTCGGGATCAGGACGTACACCGTTCTTACCAACGATGCACCCAAGAAGTGGTATTTCGCTTGCTGCAAATATACACTTCTTGAGGTTTGCATACAATTGATGCTTTCGCATGATTGTAAGAACTTGTCGGACGTGGTACTTGTGAACCTCAACGTCCGACTTTCCATCCATAGCTCGACTATGGATGAATACGTCATCGAAATAACTCGGCGCGAATTCTCGTACTGGCCTCAACAGATGTGATACACACCTGTTGAACGTGGCAGGGGCATTACTGAGCCCTTGTGGCATTACTAGCCATTCCCAGAGCATGCCGCTAGGCGTGCTAACTGCGGTATAGGGTATATCCCGTTCCCGCATTAGGATTTGATAGAAGCCATCCATCAAATCCATGGACGAAAAGATGGTACTCTTTGACATACCATCAATGATTACGTCCTTCCTCGGTATCGGCGTCTGAGCCGGTACCGTTGCAGCGTTCAATTTGTTAAACGCGTGCACTATCCGCCACCCTCCTGTTGCTTTTCGCACACAGAAGGTCGGAGAGCTATGTGGGGAAGTTGATTCCCTCACATGGCCCGCTGCTAAACGATCGGCAAAGAACTTGTCGATCGCAAGTACTTGTTCACGAGGCAGTGGCCACTGCTTCATGACACAGTACTTCGAGCCTGGTTTAAGCTCGACTTCGTGTCGAATACCTTTATCCTTCGGTAATTCGCACGGAACAGTTTCAGGGAAAACATCCTTGAATTCAACCAAATCTTCATAGAGAGGATTTGTCTTGAGCGATTCCCACGATTGGGAGTCATATCGCTCAACTCGTGTCTTTTCATCGAGGACACTCTCGTCCATAGATGAACTACTGAGAACTCTCTCGTTCTCAGTAAACATTGTTGCTGACCTTATGTCGGCTACAAAATCGTCTTCAGCGACGAGTACGCAGATCTGCTTGACTTTGCCACTACGCAGATCATGCAAGAACCTTTTATGTTCGAGCGTTGGCAACTGAGTGATCTCCGAAGTTAACTTCGGAGGCGCAATCAGATCAAGTGTATAAGCGCCTACACATGATCCGTTATTGACTATGACATTCAATGTCTCTGTCATTTCCTGGGGACTTATTCCCTCAGGCTTCGAAGGACTTATTCCTTCGTCTTCCCGGGGACTTATTCCCGCGGGTTTCGGGGAACTTATTTCCGCCGTATTTGTAATCTTGGGACTTATTCCCTTTACTTCCTCTAGCTGGGGTTGCGCAACCACAGCGAGATCCTCTACGAAAGACTCTCCAGTCGATCTAGGATTATCGTTTCGCTTAACCTGAGCGATCGATTGTTTCTCTTCTAGATGTTCCCCTCTAGGGATACATCTTTGTCCCAGTCCACCCGACTTATTCGAGTGGTGGACCTTCGGCGCAGCCTGTGTTTCCTCACAGCCGCCGGAACTTTGCTCCGAAGTGTAACCGTTTGGTACACTAAGGTTTTGTGCAGTCGTACTAACGACCGTACCACAAGTGAGGCCATCGCACTCACTCGTAGTACATCCACACGCTTGTGGACGCTCCAAAACGTTCATCAGATGGCCATCTGATGAACAAGCGGCAGGCATCGTTACTGTCCGATGTTGCCAGTTTACCCGTGGTTCGTACCTTCTGAGCCACGGTATTCCAAGGATGACATCAAATTTGTCATCCAAATCCAATACGATAAAGTCATCGTCGTATTGGGTATCTTCTAGCGTATAGTGAATCTTCACTATACGCTTCATGACGGTTACGGATGCGCCTGTCGCAAGACGTACCGTCATCCTCGTAGGAGGTGTGTCACATTCACTGAATTTAAAGTGACCATCTTCTAGCGATTGGCGTCGCACAAAATTGTTGGACGCCCCACAATCGACTAGAGCTCGAAGGGACAACTTATTCGTCACTTCGAGTTTCGAGGTAATGAGTGAGATCTCATTACCTAGAGCAGCAACGCACAATGTCTGTGTGTTGGGAGCAACCTTCATCAAGAGGCCTACAAATTCTCTTGACGTTGCTGGATCAGTAGGGTGCTCCGCACCTACTGATCCTGTCCGTTTTTAGACGGTCCATCCCGTTGTTGCGTCTTTGCACCAACAGCGGACCCTCGTCCCTGCCCCTTTCTCATGGGTGGACGGTCACTACGCCCAGTGTCGCGAGACACTGGACGAGGGGCACTACACTCGTAAGCGTAGTGTCCTGTCTTTTGACATCTGTTGCATCTCTGCAACTTCTTGTAGCCTGTAGAGCGAGCCTTCTCGCTCTCTACATAACAGAGTTCCATCGGCTCTGGACCTCCGTTGTCATATCGTCTCGGTTGACGATATGATGTCGAGCTGGCGCGAGCCTGTCTCAGACTGAAGTCTTCCTGCTCCGCAATGGAAATGGCTTGTTCTAGTGAATCTAGTTCAAGCCGGAACAGGTGAGTCTTGACGGGACCATCCGCAAGACCCTGCATGAACACCGAAACCAACGTGTGTTCATCCACCGGATTGGAACTTATACAACTCGTGAGATGTCGTATATGTTGAGCGTAAGCGTGCACATCACGCTTACCCTGCTTGAGCTTCAAGAGTTCGGTTCGAGCTCTGAACTCAGCTCTAGGCGGTTCAAACGTTTGTCTGAGCCGCGACTTGAAGACTTCCAACGACCCAAACGCATATGGGTCGTGCAACTTGAGCCCCAGTGCCCAAGTCTTGGCACGTCCTGCCAGATTTGACTGGGCAAATGCAACTTGCATATCCCCGTCGTCGATGCGACGCGCCCTTATGGCGTCATCCAATTCGACGAACCATCTCAAGAGGGAGTCTTCTTCGACCCCCCTATACTTTGAGATGTCAATCTTCAAAGTCTCGGGCCGACGCGAGTGCATCGACCCGCCAGCAGCAGCCTGCTGCTGTCTCAACAGTTCAAACTGTTGAGCACCTTGTTCTCTCAACAACTCTGCTTGTTGAGAACCTTGTTGGTGAAGCAAGGCTACTTTCTCGCGTTCTGCGTCAAGTTCATTTTGAATGAACTTGGCGATAGTAGCATGTTGGGCATCTCTATTGAGAGCCTCTAGCATGACGCTAACAGCATGGATGCCCATGGTCGAACCCATTCGTTCAACCGCATCCCATTCGACATCGCTCAAATGGGAGTAGCCGTCACGCGTAGCGTGAAAGCTTTGGTCATCTTCATCATCCAACATATTCATGTTGGATGTGAACGCGGTCCTTGGACGGACTACGAAGTGCTACCAGGTGTAACGGGGCACCCTGAAGCTTGTACTGGTGACAGTACAAGCTACTTATTCTGATGACAGAATAAGGCGGTGCCTCGTAACTTCACGTACACTCGTACGTGCAGAGGAAGACGGTAAGAAGAAGCAAGTACTTGGTTAGAGTAAAAAGTAGAACTGTATTTATAATAGTTAATGTCTGCAATAAATCACTATTTATCTTCATCTAACTATGTCTAAATACAAATGTGTAAATCAGTTATCTGCTCACCACTCATTGCGTGCGTCTGTCGTGGCGCGTCTTCGTTGGTTGATATAATGGCCTATATCAACCAATTAGGGACTACTTGGAAGTGCTACAGAATATTGTCCTTATGACAGTATTCTGAGAATCTAACTCTTATAGTTATATTCTATTAACAATTTCTTATAAATTGTTATGTAACGATTCACCCCGTTACACCTGCATTACCGGCAAGGCAGCGACAACGCCTACATGAACATTTACAAGACGACTTGGAAGCAGGGGTCATGGTTTGGAATCGCATATGGTTTATTATGTGTAGCGTCTGTTTAACTCACTTATGGAGTGAACGAAACGACGCAGTTCTTCAAGGTGTGCGGACGACGGTTATTCACAGCGTCACCCGTTTTTGGAAGGTGGGGATTCGGCATCTCAGCGCGTTAGCGAAACGCGAACATCGTGGTCCCGACACAGTCGTCGCCGGGGCTCTCTTACATGCCTGTCTTGACCTCTTCACTCTCGAACCGCGGGATGAGGTGGTCTTCGCAGGAATCAGCTACGACAAGCTACCGGATCCGGAGCTCTTGTCCTGGCTCCAGAGTTTTCAGACATCTTGTACATAGGTAAATGTTAATAGACGGTCATGAAATCTCTGTGAGGAGGCATCCAACAGACTCCCTCCCCCCATCCGGATAGAAACCCGCCATCCTTCCCGCTTGCTCGTTTCCCGATCGAACCTAACGACGGCACCGTGACAAATCTCCTAAACCAGTAGAACATCCTCAAAACCGTCTCCCTGCACACGTCCAGCCTGCCCACTTTCCAAGTGTCGATGAAGCCAAAGCGACCGTTGCCGCCAGCACGTACGCTCGCGCTCGTTATAGCAGCCCAGCTGCTTCTGTGCTGGCTCTTCCTGCTGGCTGCCCGTCTGGACGACGTCGGCGTTCAAGCTGCAGACGATCCGTCGACGTCTTCCACCTCCTTACGTCGCTGTATCTCTGCGGCCCATCGGGACCGTCGGTACGTGCAAGCAGGAGTGTGTGTGACGGTCCAGGAGCGTGCGGGAGCGTTCGCAGACCTGCTCTACGCCCTGAAGGTGGTGCTGGAGAATGCCCACGTGGTCTATTGGATCGACAGCGGCACGTTATTGGGCGTCTACAGGGCGCAACAGCTCGTGCCGTGGGACTATAACGTTGACATTGGGATCACCGTAGCTGGGCTGAGCTCCCTCCGATCGATGGCTACAGACACGCTGCAAGTGACGGAAGGCTACGAACTCACAGTGTTTCACAGTCCTCTACATGAAGCTGGCGAGACGTCGACAGCTGTGCCTGTGAGGTTCGTGGACACGACGTTTGGATTTTACGCCAACGTGTTTGCGTTTGCGGAGTCTCAGGGAGTTTTCAAGGACGATGTTAAGTCCGTGACAGCAGCAGAGATGGAGAATGATGTGGTGGGCAATGGGGTTCTAGTGGAAACTCTAGCGGGACCGGAGCCGTCGCAGATGTGGCAGCGGTGCGTTCATTGTCCGGTTATTCAGGATGCAGACGATGGCATCACGTCGAAAGACGCGAACGTCAATGCAGTGACAAAACAGTTTCGTGTGCCGCGAGATTGGCTCTTTCCATTGCGAATATGCAAAGTGGAACAGTTTGAAGTCAAGTGCCCAGCGCAGACAGCGCCTTACCTCATGTATATCTTTGGAAACCGGTTCTTGACGCCTGAATTGTGGGACTGAAAGTGCAATTAAGTCTCCGACGGTGCTGAGTTACTGTGGAAGTAGCTGGAAAGTATGATACCTGCTCCACGGATGGCTTCGCATTGCGCAGCCTCTAGTTGCTCGCGCTGACGTCAAGCGCATTTATCGCTTGTACCCGATCGACGCTACGATGAACTTCCAGATGCCTTTGAGAAGTAAGTGCACGCGATATGACGATTTCGTTACAACCGGCGTGTGGTGTACGTTGCCGTGTCAGCAGCATGGCTGGAATATGCAAGGAACTTGGAAGCAATTTCTAGTGGAGGATCACCGTCGGGATGTCTATTTGTGAAGGGCCATCGTTGGCGACAGAGTGTCTTCCAGCTGGACGTGATTTTCTCGTTGAGTTTTGCAACGACCCGTTGATTTGCAACAACGGCAAATGCCATACAACTGGAGGATCAGCGTGCTGGTTGAATTTATAGACGAAGCGAAGGTGCGTGATGAAGGGACTTGACAGTTAAGGTAGTAGTGGTCACATTGTGCATCTTTTTGCTTCAAGACACCGCACAAGTGCTCAAGAGTGAGCAGCAGCTCCAATTCTACCACTTGCATTTGACCCTTTAACTTTGTATCGCGTGCTCTTTACTGAGCTTCGATTGAGATTCGCGTAATCATGTTACGTACTCATCCCATCGCAGCATGTGATCAAGCTTTCGAGTTTTTCTAACAACAGACCGCTGGATAGAAATCGCGACGAAAGTGGTAATATGCCAGTAAAGTAGCCTCCACACAACAGCATTATTGCTACTAAAGCAGCATAAGCTCAAAATGCCGTGTAGAAATTGCGAATGAATGAAACATCCTCATGACACATTGTACTCGTTATCAGAGTGCACCATGTGGTGTAAATACTTAAAAGAGATGCAAATACCGGATAAACGCACTCCTTATCGCACATGACCTTCGTGGTTACATAGAGTTTCTGCATAGTCAAGGTCAAAGACAAGTCGGACGCGACATCGCGATTCCCTTTCATGGATTCTCGTGACTTGATTTGTGTAACAGTTTTATCAGCAAGAAGCGGCTGGTGTAGTATTGATATTGTTGAAGAAGGAGGACGAGCTGGAGCTGGCATTTATCAGTGTGAAAGGATGATGTTGCTAGACTTAGTATTGAGCAAGTCTTTGACCGGTTTTTTGTTGGCAAGTCCGTGGTTTATGGTATGTAGTCGACTCACGGGCAGTTTTCCGATGTGGTGTTCAGCTGGTCCTTTGAGAAATGGGAGGACAGTGTGCTAGATGAACGGGTTATACTTGTCATTAGCAACTAGGTCAGGCCCCGGAGCATCGTTGTGAAATTTCAGAACAGGTCCGGTCGCTTCATTTCGCTTGAGGACGTACACACCCTTTTGTGATCTCGACGACGGTTCTTCGCTCGATCGGGACGCATTCATTACGTTTGCAGGATATCGTTGGCTTCCTACCGAGAGTCTCTTCCAGAGCTGTTACACAGCTCTACCGAGAGATCACCTGGACGCATTATGCGAGCAAACACGCACATTCGACGTCAATGATGGTACTTGGGTGTGCTCAATCCACGGCGTTTTTTTTTGCCTTCTGAGCAATTGTCAGCGAATAGGCAAGGGCGAAGCCGTGGTCGGAGCTGCTGGACGTGGTTCAGACCTTTTCTGTGTTGTAGCTGCAACCAACCTGTTGAGCCTCTTGAGCGCTGATGCAGCAACGCTTTGGAATGCACCGCTTCGGACGTGCGGCCTTAGATGTCGTTGCTATGTTGACTCGCTGCATGGATGTCTTCTGAAAAGACCACCGTACATTTCTGGCAGCAAATGGAAGAGTCTTGATGCAAATACAAGCGGACAAGCAACGATTCAAATGCTTTGCCCATGAAGCATGTATGTACAAGTGATTACGGCTTGCAGCAGCACTTTATTGTGCAGCATGTTGCTGTGTACGTGCGCGTGGTACGTTTTTCGTGTCTTGAGGACCAAGCTGGTCAGCTAAAATATGACACAACATGGCCTGTGCATTGACATTGCAGAGCGTAACGAAGCGATCGAGGAATACGTCCGAAGCCAACACAAGTGCATACAAATTGTCCGGAATCGCGTACTCGGCAAAAATGATGTTCCAGGTGGCGGTGAGTACTGTCAAGGCCCCAGACGGGATGGGAGGGGCCGTGATCGTGCACAACAAGACACCAAGGAATGTCACCAACTTCTTCGAAACGGACTGGGCGTGAGCAATACCGGCTACATCAGCCAGAAAATGTACTAACACAGCCAGGTAGATGGATGTGCCAGGCATGTGGAGCGAGGTGCCCACTGACAAGACGAAATGCATGATTGGGCTTGTAACCTGACGGGACGTTTCAATGATCTGGAGACTTCGTGGCATTGTCGCCATCGATGATGAACAGCCGATGCTGTACACGTACACGGGCAGCATCTGAAGCATGAAGCAGAAGGGGTTCCGACGTGTCACCAGCATGAATAACACAGGCACGACCACGAGCATGTGGACGAGTACAGTCGCCGCGACCGTAGCTACCACTATCATCATCAACTTCAGAGGCTCGTCTGCAACCGAGTCTTCCAACGAAGTAGCTATTGAACCAGCAAGCAAACTCAGGACGGCAACGGGTGTGAAGCGGAGAATATAGTGGGCCATGTGCACGAGTGTCTCGTTCACCTCACGGAAAAATTCCAGCAGCGGATTCAGACTAGCAGGTCCGTGGAAACTATAGGCCAGGGTTGCACCAAGTGGTAGCGCAAAGGCTGCAATGCTCAGCAACGTGCTCGAAACAAACGCTGCCACGATATTCACCGGCACAGCCTGACTGATGATACTCAACACATTGTCGGACAACGTAGTATTCGTCCCCGTTAGTGCCTCATTCCTCACCAGAGCACTGTTGATATCATCCAGAGCGAACCGCGACGTGGTTGAGATTTCCGTCGCTGAGCAAGTCACCACGCCGTCCTCTCCTGCTTCGAGGTATTTGCCATTACCGCATTGTATCCCAAAGATGGCATCCGTACTGACATTCGACTCGTCTTGCCGGTACGAGCTAAAGACAGAGTGCATGATCACAGCAGTCGCGAGCCCGAGCCCGATCGCTACGACCATGGAAGTCAGCAAAGCAAAAGGAAGTCGGAAGCTCAGATGTTTGCCCAGCTTTTTGTGCATCATGTCGGCTGTGGCAACAACGAGGTTGACAAACACCATCGGCACGACAACGCACTGAACTGCCCGCATGAAGAGATGTCCTGGCGTCATGATCCACTGGGCCGTGGCTTTGTCAATCTCCATGTGCTTCAGCAGTCCACCGACAACAGTGCCAATGAAAAGGGACAGCAGGATGAACACCATATCGCGTTTCGACGCTTGACTGGACAGTGGCGAGGCCGTGATGACCATATCTGAAAAAGGCATTCCCGTGTCATTAGCTGGCGTCCGAAAATGGCGAAACGTCGAACTGAACGACGCAGACGCGTAGTCTTCAGCAAGCGGCACGGATGAATTAGACCGGCTTTCCGTAGTGTTAGCTGCCCGACTCTGGTCGTCGATCGTTGACGTAAAGTTCGTGCCTCGAGTGACGGAATGCAGAGGCGCTGAGTACGCGCTTGGGACGTCTGCAATGCTACTGCCATACCAAAACGAAGACGAGCCACTGGAAAACCCTGAGACGGAGCTGAGCATGCTTGGTGCTGACGCGTCGCTTCTGGAGCTGTCCTTCGTGGCGCTCTTGTCCAGCATGGCGCGGAATTATCTATTGATGGTCGGAATGTTTATGTACTCTTTTTGTCTTGTCGGTATTGTTGGTAGTGTAGGTGAACAATTTGTACAGCGCACGGAAGAAGAATGGGGCACGTTCTGTCAAGATCAGAATGTCACAGTGGAATAACGGAGCTGCTCAACTATTTGTGCGTAAAAAGAGCGACTAAAAATGGGGCGGTGGTAGAGGAGCGCTTGCTTATGCTGTATGAAGACGACAGTTCGATGGCAAGAAACACACTCAATCAACGCGTGTAATTCAGTAATACCTCTAGCAGTTGATAATGAGATTGGTTATCCGGTTCATACTGGATAGCCGTGCGTTTTTGTGCAAGGTTAAGTACGCATTCATGCACGGTGAACAGAATAGAGTGATGCAGAAGCATTTAGCTCAGTGCGGTATGCTATCATGCATCTGATAAGTGCAAAAAAACGCATTCCAAAAACAGACCGCCACTTATCCGCTGCTCATCCCGGTCGTTGATCAGACCGTCCTCCCGACAATGCTGTCATTTAGAATGTATCCAGTCTTGGTCAATTCTAGTTCTAGAAAGCGAGTCGAGCTTTCGAATTGCATGGTGGCGAATGAATGGGTCCAGGTCGAGAGGTTGACAAAGTCAAGTTTCTTGGACATGTCATTGTTAATGAATAGACTTCTTACATACAGAGCTCATGCGCCATCAAGTTCAGTAGATAGAGCGTAGATGTTAGCAAACCTTGATAGTAATGCCTCCTGGCAAATACCCCAAAAAACTGTAGAGAATGCCTGTTTCTTTACCACAGACTGGAGTCTGCACTGACGCTCGCACTCACTGGTAGGAATCACACACTATCGTATAAGCCATTCAGTAGAGATGACACCTGTTGTTATGACTGGTCAAATGATTGATGTGGATTGATCATTGTTGCACGCAATTCATACTTGCACAAGAACAACACGGCTGCCGAGCATGATTAGAAAATGGTTCGTATCCTGGATAGAGAAGTAGGTATAGGTATGGTACTACCGCTCTGCTGCGTGACCACGGCGAACACACACCTGGTTATACCTCGTCGCATAGTAGTACCACGCATACCTCGTTACAGGTCAAAAGCACGCATGATACACACGACTACAACATCAGCATATGCTTCCCTTTTATTTCTTGAGCATATATTTGCGCGTGAGCAACACCCATTTATTCTGCAGCTTTACGGTCCACTTCATTTGCTGCACTTGATCGTTACGTTCTTTTTGGATTCGCGACTGTTACAACGTGGAATCGGGTTCCGTACGATAGGCGGTACGGGTTAAAATCCTGGTACAACACACAAGGCGTCAGCGACGAACATCGTAATGAATCTGGCGAGAAGTACGAACAACATACCTCGGTCGCCTGGAAAGTATCAATGAAGATGATCTCACCACAGATGTAAGCAGGCGGCGTGCGATCGCCGCCTACACCCAATATCGCCGCTTGAATCGACTCGTTTGCCAAATAGTAATTTGGAGCTCCCTCATTGAAAGCCACATAAGGCAGCTTACCACCCTTCAAGAAAAACAATGCCAGTGAACTGATTTGAAAGCTGCGGAACGATATCCGCTGGTGCTCGACTGGGACAGGCGTAGAAGCTGCCGAAGCCGGCTCGCTGACGAATTCCTGCACGCTGTTTTCGTCGACATCATTTGCAACGGTACGGCCAGTCAAGACCTGTGAGGGCGGTAGCTCACCGGACGCGGACAAGTTCTCGACCGTGCCAACACTGCCATTCGCATCATGTGATGACGTCGCTAAGGGTGTTACGGACACGACGTGATACTTTGTTCCTTCGCGAAGGCAATATGGGCTTGAGTTCTGTACAAAGCATGCATAGTTAAGTCGAGATGAACCAAGTCCGAGTCTCATAAACGAAGCAGCAGCACGAGTCTTACACCTGTGGTTTCATGATCTTCGATATAGACGATGTGTCCGAGAACGTACGGAGGGTTCCTGTGGCAGCATTGCAGGTCAGTTTGTGGTGCACAGTAAATCATGATGAGAACAAGCTTAACTCGCCTATCATCTTTCTTTGATGCTGCGACGGATTCATCCGACAGATAGTAGTGAGGGCATCCTTCATGAAATGCAATGTAATCGCCGAATGGAGTGGGTACAAAGAGCGCTACACTGCCGCAGGAAAAACTTTTGTAGCAAATGCCCAGCAGCTCCTCTAGACGGTTATCATCGGTAATCCATTGACGGCGCTCGTCGACCAGCCAATTATCACTTTTAGTGGCCGGAAGCACTTCGCGTGCCGGCATTTGGGTGTCCCCTTCCAGCTCAGTCTGTGCTGGTGTATGCACAGACTCAAGAGAAACTTCCCCGTGAGATGGAGAAGATGTGTCGATCACGACGTCTCTAATCTCGACGCTGCCATCGACAACAGCGACGTCTGCATCAACAGTGGACGCATGCTCTTTTATGCGGTGCGTTGCCTGAGAAGCATCGCAAATCAACAACAATGTCAGCGTTTCCGCATTCCCACATTCCTGCATTCCTCTTGCATTGCTACATACTGCCTTCTCATCCAGATCCACCTTCAGGTCCTGGCCGCCAAGAATCTCCCGACCAATGTCCTCGTATTCGTTTTCGACCATCACGTATTCGTCGCTAAAAGTAGCCCAATCCTCTGCAGGCATGCCGAGTAAGTCAATATTGTCAGCGTAGCGAAGACCACGTGCAAAGCACAAGAGCGTACCATATTCAGGCTGTTTTTCAGCAACGAGTGGCTGCTTTGTCTCGGAGCTGTTCAAATCTACATGATGTGCGAGTGTAGCAGCGTCGGATGAAACGGACAGTAGCAGAAATGGCGCGCGAAAGAAATCCTCAAACGACATTCGCTTGCGTGGATCTACCCGCAACAGCGCCTCCACCAATTGTTCACACTCAGGAGACACGGAGACCCTTTTCGGAAACCGAACACGGCCATAATGCTCAAAGTATCGGTAAATGTTCCGGCGCAATGCCAAGTGATTAGTTGCGTGGCACTTGTCTACCACGAGAAACGGGTGTTCGTTAGCGATCATTTCGAACAGAATGATGCCAACCGACCACAAGTCGGCTTTAGCATCGTAGCTCTTGTACTCCAGTAACTCAGGAGCCATGTAAAGAGGCGAGCCCACCACACTCTCAGCCATCATCTCCGACCCCAGCTCCCGCGCAAAACCAAAGTCCGCTGCACACTCACCGCGGAAGGTCAACAAAGATTCACACACTAACGACGTCGACCAACTCACCGATTTTTAGCTTTACCGTCGCAACATTCCGCGACGAGAGCAACAAGTTGGCAGGTTTGAGATCACGATGCACCACATTCTGCGAGCGTAGAAACTGCAATCCCGACGCTGCAAACAGAAAACAGCAAAAGATACATAATGACTCGAATGCAAGCGCACAAAACAAATCGGTCTGAGTAGGTACCCAATTGCGACATATACAGCCGTGCCTGCTCTTCCACGAGCCCATTGTTCGCCTTCATTAGCTGCGCAATGTCTCCGCCAGCGCAATACTCCTGTCCACACCATAAAACGCACTCTACAATCAGCACCACTCTCGTTTTATTTTCTGTCTTTTTCCTCCACACCTGCACAATAAAAATATGATGCTGTGACTCTTTGGTGCACAGCAGTCGCACAATGTGCGGATGGCCGTTCTCAAACTGCTCCACAGCCACGCGCATGGTCTCAATTTCCTTTTCAATGCTTTGGCGTTCGTTTGGACGTCGAAGTTTATCCTTTCCAATCATTTTGACAGCCACGGCTGCTCCAGACGACAAATTAATGGCTTTGTGCACCTAAATCCACCCATTTAAAGCAGAAAATGAGGTCAGTAAGGCCATCATTGCACCTAGTACTTTCTGTTCATATCCATACCGTGCCGTAAGAGCCTCTTCCGATCGTTTCTTCTAATCTGCATCAATAAGAACGTAATGCACAGCAAAACGACGTCAACAACCGCAAAAACGAGGAAACAGCGCGTTTTTGACCACAATTTCGAGCAGGACAAGACCGCAGCTACTAGACGCACCGGAAGATGTTGCCACACACGGTGATCGTCTGTCCGTTGACGCTCCTCATGCTGCGCGAACGGGATTCCAGCCACACTTCTTCGTTTCGATCTGTTGTTTCTCTCACGGCGTCAAAAAGTCAGTGTGATGGGTTCATGTCGCCATTCTGTATAGCAGTTACGATTCGATGTATCACACATCAAGTAGAAGCTCATAGACCACTATGGCTACACTGCAATGAACCACTGCCGTCACGAGGTATGTCATCGAAGCCGATTCCATCAATGCACTGCTTGATTGCCTCTGTGATCGGAATGGTAGAAGCTGATTAACCAGTACTGAATTGGCCACGACAAAGTCTTTGAGCTACTCTTGGCTTCAAGCTTGCGCACCCCTTTTCTGTAAAGCTTGTGGCACGGAATCTTGGTCTCGGCGTAGCTTGACACGCTTCGCATCCTCCTTTTTTCGATCAGTTTGCACCATCATTTAACATCTCAAAACGTTTAAGGGCTGTGTACATGTTAGTAAAGGCGACCCGATGATGTAGAAGAAACTCAGGCTTCCCCACTTTGTATCTATGCTGTGACATGGAAGGCAGAACTCGTCGTTGTGACATACTGCACAGCACTACCGAGGCTCTCATTGTTACTGCGTTTAGCAAATAGTACAGAGCTGGAGCTCTCGATGAGCGTTAGCACACAAGCACACACCCTGTACCGGTGCGTCCAGAGACTTGTAGCCTGACTGGAGGAACTATGTACTGCGTTAGTAGCGCAATTGCCACATTGACCGCGTCTACGCAACCGACGCAACAATTGTGTGCAAGTTGTGTTTCAGCATTACGGTTGTCAGCGTTTTTACGTGATGGTCACACCTGCGGTGACATGGAAGACAGTCACATTGTACAACAAACATGGCATCAACATCGCACGCGCTCCACCACTAGTCTTTCGAGACATGAAAACGGCGAGCTCATACCGTCTCATTGCGTGTCAGCAAGCGAGCCGTCTCATGTACGTAATGGGACAGCAGCCTCATATTCCTTCTAGAAGGGGCACAAAGACTAGCTGCTTTCTTCTGCTACGCAGCAAGTAGCTACTACTGTTACGAAACAAAGTCCTGCCCCACATCATTTCTATAGCCATGACGAGGAAGACGTGGCGTGTTGTCGCTCTCAATTTGGGATCTCGAGAGGTGGTGCATACCCATCCTCATTGACCAATTCTCATCTGATTGCAAAGCGCGTGTCAACGGCCAACGGCTCGGCGACAAGCGTTTATCACTTTTGGTCGCCTGATGTTACTGGCTAAAATGCATCACGAGGGACAATGCGTTGATGCATGTCCGTTCTTTGCGCCGCGAGACTGACGGATGCCGGTCTCGACATCACGTAAATGCTGGCACCGCCAGGGAAGGTGAGGTGCGACACACGAGTGAGCCCATCACTGTGACTCTAAGAAACGAAGCGGAAAAGGAGTTTTTTCCGGTCGAGCTTAGCCTCAAAAGCCTTGGTCTGCGTTCCGCAGCCTCTGTAATGTAAGCTGTGAGAAATAGCTACCACATACACAAGGAGGAGGCACTTCTTACCGTCAGACACTTCACATGCAGTTTTTTTTTCTTCGAACGAAGCCATTTGGGCATTCAACGCATCACGCACACACACTGACACTGGCTGGGACAGTTGGTTACTGACTACAGAGCTGTCAGCATGGGGCAGTCGACGTCGATCCAAGAAGACAAGATGAAGAAGCGCGCGCGCCAAGCCGTGGGTACGTTCATGGACTTCGGAACGCACTTGACGAACGCCAACGAGTGGTACGTACTTCGCTACATTGAAGTCCATGAAAAATGACGGTACTTCACCGCTTTCTTCTTTTCGCATTCAAACCGCAGGGCTCAGATCTGTGCGACACCCAAGAACTGCTACTTATCGTTTCGTATTGTCATCGACCGTCATACGTCGGCGGAGCTGCTGCCGTACGTCTGGAGGCTTTGTGGCAAAGTGATGGTTGAAGTGCGAAAGATGCGACGACCTGTTACGAAGCCGCTCGATGTGGCGAGTTTACGCTGCCGGTCGTCCGTGGGCGAGACCGGAATCACAGAGACAATCGGCCAGGCCAAGATGTTGAGTGTGGCCCAGTTCTATTACATGTACTGCTTTCTATCGGACGTCAAAGCGTGCGCTGCTCATACTGTGCGCTTTCCCGACCAGACGGGAAGGTATGCTAAGACGCAGGAGTTGTGTGTCATTTATGTGTCATTCGTGTGTTGTTAGTGTGATGTTTGTGTGTCGTCTGCGTGTCACTCGACTGACGGTTGGACTGTCTTTGACCCGATTGATAGCGCCAGTGACTCGGGCTTTGACGAGACGGAGTGTCAGATCTGTATGGACAAGAAGAAACAGGTAGCGTTGCCGTGCGCCCACAGTTTCTGTCTCAGTTGTTTCCAGCACTGGAGTACGCAGAGCCCAACGTGTCCCATCTGTCGCGCCCCTTTCGATTGCTCGGAAGGCGACGAGATGTGGCAGTTGACGTCGAACGAGGTGGAAGATCTGGGCTCGTATGCAACTGACTTGGTTGCGCGGATCTACGAGTATCTGGACAAGTGCAACAAGTCCAGGTTCACGGAAGAAGACATGAAACGGTCTGCTGAGCTCTACACAGCCGCAATTGCTGTGAAACAGACGCCGCTGCACAAGTTTGTGCGCACGGACTTGTTCCCCACGGCGTTGCCGCTTGGGTTTCCCTTTCATTTGCGCAGTGGGATCCGCTTTGCGACGGAAATTGACTCCGATCTGATGCTGGCACTTGAAGTGGCGTCAGACGAGGATCAGCATGCGGCGATGCGACACTTTGAACAGCTTCGGCAGGACCAATTGCTTGCTGCGGCGATGAGTAGGCAGGCAGAAAGCGAAGAGAGTCCAGACGAGTCGTGATCTCGCGGAAGGGGGGGGAGAAAAGGACAGGGTTTGCGCTTGGGCGACTCTTATTTATCAAGAAGTATGTCATGGAGGTTGGACGCCGTCATCAGATCGTTGCGAGGTGACGATCTGACAACGAGTGGATGGGCTGGGGGTGTCGTCGGGTAACCTGAGATTGGCCTGGATTGTGTTGTTCAGTATGTAGGTTGTAGCACTAGGCAGCTGGACGTCGTGAGCAAATGGCGTCGTTTGCGACAACGAGCTGCGTGTCAAGCTGAGGTCAAATGGGATGGATCAATTGATAGCCCTTCTTCGCTTTGCTTTCGAGTGTTTGCGATCGTCACGTTTATTATATTCAACGCAACCGAGAGCCTTGTTGCTAACACGCTGGGGCTGGAGCAATGCAGAAGCGGCGCGTGACGATTCTTCACCCAACTGCAAGGTTGAAGTTGCCGGCAACTTGGCCAGAATATGCAGTTTACCAGTTTTCCTCTTTCCAAATGCTCTACTACAGGTCTTTAATATCATGCGATCCAAACTTCAAGTCGGCGCTATCCCTTCCCTCCTCGCTCGTTTCCCCGACCATCATTCCGGCAGCACTCATGCTGACCGCACGCAGCGTCCTCAGCGCTGCCACGCGGCGCTCGGCCTTTCCCCGCCGCTTCGCCTCGCTCTCCGGCGCCATCGACTCCTTCTCGAACGTTCTGGATGGCGCCCTGGACACCAAGTCGTCGCAGTTCCAAGAGTCGCAGGCGCACATGGCCACGCTCACCACGGAGCTGCGCGAGCGCGTCGCCACGGCGCGTCAGGGCGGCGGCGCCGTCACGCTTGCAAGGCACGAAGCCCGCCACAAGATGTTCGTGCGCGACCGCATCGACTCGCTCCTGGACCCGGGCTCGCCGTTCCTTGAGCTGTCGCCGCTCGCGGCCTGCGACATGTACGACAACAGCGTCCCGAGCGCGGGGATCGTCACGGGCATCGGCCGCATCAGTGGCCTCGAGTGTATGATCGTGGGCAACGACGCGACCGTCAAGGGCGGGACGTACTTTCCCCTCACGGTCAAGAAGCACCTGCGCGCGCAGGAGATTGCGCTGGCAAACCGCTTGCCCTGTCTCTACCTCGTGGACTCAGGCGGCGCGTTTTTACCTCTACAAGATGATATCTTCCCGGACCGCGATCACTTTGGACGGGTGTTTTACAATCAAGCAACCATGTCGGCCCAAGGCATTCCGCAACTAGCGGTCGTGATGGGCAGCTGTACAGCTGGTGGGGCGTACGTGCCGGCCATGTCGGACGAGAGCGTGATTGTCAAGGGCAGCGGCACGGTCTTTCTTGGGGGACCACCGCTCGTCAAGGCGGCAACGGGAGAAGTGATTACACCCGAGGAACTCGGAGGCGCTGACGTGCATTGCCGCACGTCGGGCGTCACAGATCATTATGCTAACAATGATGCGCATGCGTTGGCAATTGCGCGACAGATTGTGAGTAATTTAAACTACAACCGCAAACAATCAGCTGTTACGCAATTGCCGAGTGAAGAGCCACTGTACTCGCCCGAAGAGCTGGGCGGGATCATTCCTGTGGATGCACGCAAGCCGTTTGATGTACGGAAAGTAATTGCCCGCATTGTTGACGGCAGTCGTTTTGACGAGTTCAAGAAGGAGTATGGCGCTACAATTGTCACGGGGTTCGCTCGTCTGTACGGAAACCCCGTGGGTATTATCGCCAATAATGGCATTCTCTTCTCCGAGTCATCGGTGAAAGCTGCACACTTTATCGAGCTGTGCTGCCAACGTGGTATCCCGCTGCTTTTTCTTCAGAACATTACGGGATTTATGGTTGGTAAGAAGGCCGAGCACGGCGGGATTGCGAAAGATGGTGCAAAGATGGTCATGGCGGTTGCTAACGCGAAAGTGCCAAAGATCACGTGTATCATTGGCGGATCGTACGGGGCAGGGAATTACGGGATGTGTGGTCGCGCGTTCTCGCCTCGCTTCTTGTACATGTGGCCAAACGCTCGCATTTCGGTCATGGGTGGCGAACAGGCTGCAGGGGTGCTCGCTCAAGTGCAGCGTGACAACTACGAGCGTCGTAACGAGACGTGGTCAGATGAGGACGAGGCAGCCTTCAAGCAACCCATCCTTGACAAGTACGAAGTCGAGAGCTCGGCATACTACTCCACAGCGCGTCTATGGGATGACGGCATCATCGACCCTAAAGATACGCGCAAGGTGTTGGGACTCAGTCTCAGCGCTGCACTGAATGAAGAGCCCCAGGAAACGAAGTTTGGCGTCTTTCGAATGTGACGAAACGACTCAAAGGACAGGGAGATGAGGCTGTGATGTCGTAAAGAGAGGTATCGTGTTTTTGTTGATCGTGTGTCAACGACAGCGAAACTTTAGTGCAGACGCAGATCTAGTGGGCGGACGGCGCTGAGTACAAGAGCCCGAGAGCTACAGCTTACTCCTGCTTCTCTGCGGCCTCCTTGCTAGCTTGAAAGCGTAAGCCGCGCTGCAGTTGATACAGCTGTGCCGCTTCGTTTGACGCGTGGCACGCCAGTAGCAGGTAGTTGCGCGGCTGAACCATCCACGCAAAGCGCATGAAGATGAGACTGTAGACCGACAGAGCTGTACAGCGCAATCGTACATTGTCGTCAACATGTGGTATATTCATATAGGTTGAAGCAGTAGCTCGCACGCACCGGACGTCATGTTGATGGAGATGACACTCGCGGGTTTTCGCATGTCAGCCATGGCCTGGACAGCAGCAGCAGCAGCAGCAATATCGTCCCACAAACAGGATGCCACATCAATGAACAACACGTCTCAAAACCAGTGAGAAGCACACAACAGTAAGGACAAGGACATGAAGTACGCACGGCGAGTACGAATCCCCAGTTGGCCACAGGGCCCCAAAAATGCGTCGTCCGGGGTCCCGTAGGGCTGTTGATAAACGAGCGGAGACGAGCAGTCATCGACATGGTGTTGAAGTGCAGACGCTGTCGCTAGCTGTCCACAATGTGACGAACGAAGAAGCAATGCAAGAGGTGAACGAGCGTGTCATGTCAGTTGATGCAGCCGGTAACATGCCCAAAGAGGGGAATCAGATGCCGACTACTACTAACCTTGTTTTTGCCGATCGGGGTGTGGGGGACCTGGAAAGCTCGCGTAGTTTGAAAGGACGTCTACATTTAGGCCTCATCAGACTCGCTTGTCGTTTTGTGATCATGAACGGCTCGTGATCTAAATTACGCTGGGCTGACTAAAACCCATCCTAGTTTAGCACAAGCAGGTGTTTTCTCAGATACGTCAGCATCAGTTTGTCGTTCGGCAAGATTAAAAGCAGACCAAGAAATGAGCTAGGACGCGTGCGAGCACGCCCTAGTCGTTCCTCGACACCATCATTATAATGAAAGTTGCCATCTCGACGTCAGAGTCACGAAGTCATTCTAGACAAAAATGGAGAGACTCTGAAGCAGCACAACATCGAGTCTAAGGCGATAGATGACTAGAACATCAACGGGATTCAAGAGAGACGCAAAGAAATTAGGGGTACGAGAAACAAAGAGAGTAGAGAGAGAGAAGTGTTCGACAAGAAGGAAAATGCGAAGTTTGGGAAGAGCAGCAGGGAGGGACAGTTGACACAGCAAGCTGAGCAACCACGAACCATGACACACGGCTGAAGAGGAGCAATTGAGATAAATCGAGCGCTTGTTAGCTGCTCAGCACTGATCGAGACATTGAAAGTAGGAGCACGCAGCTTACGGGACGGTCACGTAGCAGACAAGATTAGCACAGTAGTCCACAACTTGATCTTCCTTGCGGCTACGAGGTATCTACTGCCAAATAAAGTGAGCAAGTCTCCTTGCTACCGGCAGAACGGACGCGGCAGCAACACGTCTAGCGTCATCATGTGGAGGCCCGCTTCACAGGGAAGGGGCAGAGGCTATCCACTTCCGTATGGATCAGCTCAACTCTCACCTATGGATTCGGCGTGTGCTTTCGTCAACACATCGACATTATGTGTTTCTTGATCATCACTTCGTCCAGTGCAAATAAGCACCCAGCCTTAAGAAGAGATCGGGGCTGCTCCTAAACCTCCAAAATGATTGTCGAAAGGGTTGAGAAGTCCATGACACCACTGAAATGAACTATACTAGGACGAGAGTAGGTCAAGGTCAATTGGGTGTATACAAGCGTATATCCAGAAACTCTCATCGATCAAGGACCAGTAACCAGCTTGAGCTACAAACCCATTTTCTTCCATCTTCCAAAGGTCGCGAGAGTATCAGTTGTAGATAGCAACGGCATGAAGCAGCGTGAGCGACCAAGTCAATCGTATACAGAGCACACGACGCTCCTGACCACCTCCTCCTCTCCTTTACCAGCACCATGGCGTCGACAGACTCCAATGACACGCCACACGACCGTGCGTGAGGACATTTGGACGGTGCTGCGCTACCGCTCGTCGGTACAGCATCGAACGGGTCTGCAGCTCGCGTCCTACGTACTGGAGCTGAGCATTTTGACGCTCATTTTGCTGAACGTGGTCGTAGCCATCTCGGAGTACTCTGCCGTGCTAACTGCTGATGCTTTGGAGTCGCCTGCTTCCGGGCCAATGCCCGTGGTCAATGATTGGACAGACGTGTTCCTGTTCGTGTCGACCGTGATCTTTTCGATTGAGTATGCGCTCCGGCTATGGTCGTGCGTCGAAGATGATCGGTACAAAAATGGACCACTTGTAGGACGGTGCGTGTGTTTCGTTAAGTTGACACTTGAGTTTTGATTATCTTTGCTGAGGAGCTCTTGTCTTGCTGACTAGTTTGAAATGGATGACTCGACCACTGTCGCTGATTGACCTCATTGCGTTGGTTCCGTTCTACTTGGAGCTCAGCATGGAGTTGAAGTGCGTACGTTGCATCAAGCAGTCGATTTGTGCATCATTGGTTCACTATTTACTGAAGGCGGCGGGCGCTTTTGTTTTTATTTTTGCTGCAGCGTCCATCACGACAAAGGACTGACGTTGCGAACTCTGCGACTCCTGCGAGTCGTGTCGTTCCTGCGACTCGAACGTATGTACAACGCAATGAAGAATCTGCGCGTGGTGTTTGCGCACAAAAAAGAGGAGTTCCTGGTCGTGACGTATCTTACAGCAGTGGTCGTGCTCACGTCGTCGCTGCTGATCTTTTTTCTCGAGCATTCGGCCAAGCCCCGTGTCTTCTCGAGCTTTGGCGTCTGTTTGTGGTGGTCAGTCGAAACGATCACGTCACTAGGTTATGGTGACGTAGTGCCCGTCACGGGCATGGGCCGCTTTCTAGGGGCCTCGCTAGCACTATGGGGTGTCGTGTTGTTTACGATCCCAGGAGCCGTGTTAGGGAGCGGTTTCATTGAGGTCATGCTGGAGAAGCAGCGCGAGGAAGAGGCTGAACTGTATAGTATGGTAGTGGGCAAGAGCAGGAGCGCGACCACAAGTCCGTTCTTCTCGGACAACGGTAGCGACGACGAGCACGTGCACAAAACACATCCCGCGACGCACGATCACGTGGTGTCCACCGCCGCTGTCCATACGCCAGAACCGGCGTCGTCATCAACGAGTCCGTCACTTCCACGCAATACGCCTGCAATGGCGCAGCTGCACCAGAGACTCGAGGTAATCTTGACAGGACAGGTGAGCTGTCTTTCCACGCAAAAAAAAGAGCACGCTATGATCCAGTGACAAGAGATTAACAACGTCACGGCACGTCTATGATCTGTTCATCCATCCAGCATGCGCTCGAAGTGCAGTTGCAGCAACAGCAGCAACAACTGACGCGATTGACGCGACTGGTTGAAGCTGCTTTAGGGACCACGCTGCTTTTTCCAGCTCCGTGCAGTGACAGCCGCCACCCAGCCGCGTGTCCAGCAGTAAGTTGACAAGCTCGTGCACGGCGTGTGCCTTTCGTTAAATATCCACCATCGCTGTCCCGTCACATGTGCCGACTTTTACCCAGTACGACGTTCCCGTCTGAACGCTTCCACTCCTTTTCTACCAATCACATACCACACACACTACCTACCCACCACATACACACATCGTATCAAAACAAGTCCACCATAGCGTCAAAACAACAAGACGCAGTCGCTTGAGACCAGCACTTTACGAATCTCCCCGGATCCCCTCCCGCGTATCCCCTCAGGTCTGGCCGCTCCATTCCCCCTCGCCCTTCTCTCCAGTCCACCAGCTTTCGCTGACATGCTGCTCGCCCGTCTGCGATCCCCATCGGTGGCCTTGACTCGCAGCAGTTTCCAGCCACGCATTGTGGCCAAGATGCTCAGCACCCGTGCGTCGAACACGACAGAAAAGGCGACGGCCGAGCGCTACGACATTGTGCTTGGTACGTGCGAGGGAGGTGCTGGTTAAATATCCACGGATCGCTGCGACCTGATGCCGTGGTGGTTAAGTATACACTCGATGTTCATTGGCTCATACCTCGTTTTCGTTTGCTTTTGATGTAATTGGTGGAAACAGATGGATTTGCCAAGCGTCAATTCGACGATAAGACGTACTCGGGGACACAGATCGATTTTGACAGGGAGGAATTTGTCAAGCGTGTGAACGAGATCTATGCAGCCAACTCGAAGCAGCTGGTGGATGGGTACATTGTGCTTACATGAACGCAGATGTCCAGTGGCTCTTTGATCTTTTAACTGGCGGGGAGCTGTCACTGGCTTTTTTTGCTGTGTTCTTTTATAACGATTATATGATGATGATGATGGTGGTGACCTGCTTGTTTTTGCTGGCAGCTACGCACCGTTTTGCAAGCACCTCTTCATCGAGAACTTTACGGGTGCTCGTCTCAACATTGTGCCCATTACGCAGGCCAATGCGCCCATGCTCATGTCGGACTACGAGGCCCGCACGGAGTATGAACTGCCAGTGTACGTTCTATTGAGAAGCCATAGAGATGGGGCACCAAGCAGCGTAAACTGTTGGTTTGACTTCTTTCGGGCTGTTTCGAGATCAACTGATGTCTGATAGGTTTGTGCTTATGTAGACTAAGTCGCTGGTTCCCGAGCCACAGTGTGACTCCGAGGGTGGCGGAGTACCTGGACATTATCCTGTACAGCCGCGATCAGATCGTCAAGGAGAATGAGGCTGTGGAGGTGCAGGCGGACCCGTCGCACAGTCAGTCCCCGTGGGGTATTGTGTCCATCAAGGCGCAGGACGTCGACCACGAACTGCCCATGAAGCCTATTACCATGATGCGGAATGCCATTGGCAAGGCGCAGGGTGGCTCGGGCGTTCCCATTGACCGTGATGAGTACATGAAGGCGGTCGAGTACTGGAAGACCCACGCTGTCATCAAGAAAATGTAGGTGCCTGTTCCCGGATCAAGAGTCGTCTAGACCAAGCCAATACCTCGATACCTCTACTGCGAGATCCATACAGGCAGGCTTCGTGTGTGTCTGCATCGTTGAACATGCACGCATTTTGCATTGATATGTTGGTGTATATTTGGACGTGCGTTTGATTCATCGCATTGGTGCACACTCGTGTCGAGCTTGAGCAGTCCGACCTTATTGCGCTCTAAATCTCTGCTTGCGGTCATTTAGCATGGATTGGACTTCTGGAAGTCTTCCCACGCGGTGTTGAGTGCTGCAAACACGCGCTCGGCAATCAACAACTGCTCTGCTTGGCGCCCGCCAGACTTGTCCGGATGCACGACGATCATGGCCTTGCGATAATACCGCTTCACATCGTTTGGCTGAATGAGCTTGCCCATGTTCACCTCGGACCATTTACAGTCTTCCCACATGACTTGGTGCATTGTAGACAACAGCGTGCGGATATTCTTCACACGACCATTATCTTCCGCCCAACTCTTCAACCTAGGACCAATTACAGCGTTGGCGGTATCTTTCATCGCAGACATGGTACGCACAGCTTCTTCTCGCTTGCGCAAGTCTTCGCGTGCTCGTTCCACATCGCGTTGCACCTGTCTCTCCCGCTCTTCCATTGCACGACGTACATCATCGCTCTTCGTAGACTTGTCGACGAGACTCGGGTTGTACACATTGGAACCGTCCGACGTCGACTTTGAGTGTGCCTCCATCTCCGCTATCGTAACAGGACCCACTGTCTGTCCGTTGTCATCGTCAAAGTGTAGCGGTTCTCTGTACACAGCCTCCGGATGAGACGCTTGCGTCGCCGGCGCAGCTCGAGCCGCTAGCGGGTCCATCGCGTTCAGAAAGTCCGAAGTGGCGTTGCACGTGGCTGGTGCATCATGCCAACCACTGTCACTCATGAGGTTCACGTCCTCATTAGGTACAACAACAGCAGCAGCTGCCACTGCAATACCAGCAGAAGTGACAGTAGTAGCAGCAGCAGCAGCAGCACCACCACTACTACCAGTCACTTGTTTTCCCCCTGATAGAAAATCTTCCAGCTTTTCCTGCACCGGCGCCGTCGCATTCAATGCAGCTCCTGGTCGTGCGACCGTCTTCTTTTCCCCCGAGACCGACGACAAGCGACTCGATACATTGCTCTGTCGAGCATCAGCTCCATGAGCAGTACTGCTTGATGGTCGGTCCAAGTACTTGGCCGGTCGGCCTTGCTCGAACGCCGGCAAAGACGACGACCGATGGAAACTGCTGCTGCTGCTGCTGCTACCGTCTACGAGCGACGGTCCGGTATCTGCTGGCATCACGTTGCTTGAGCTCTTGTCCCGACCAGCACTTGTCCTTGTATCTTGGCCGTTGTATGGTCGAGAACGGTCCACCCACTTGAGCACAGGTCGACGCTTGAACACCAGACCGGCTCTCGGACGTCGATCGAGTCGCAGGAGCTTGCAAACGACGCGGCCACTGGCCAGCGGGACCTGCTGCGTCGGCTGGACGACATCTAGCCAATAGAAACCGCTGCTTGCGCCCTGGTTCAGCCGGAAACGGAAGTGAAACGCCCGTGGATTCCGCAACGGGAAGCTCGCGAGCACGTCGGCAAGCGTCACGTCTGCGCCTGGGAGGACGCCCGAGAGCCGGAAAGCGTTCGGGTGGACGCTGTCTTCGCCTTCTTCTCCCTGGACATAGTAGAACGCCCACACCCCCGTCTCCATGGCCCTACACAGCACAGAAACACGACGACGACGACGGTAGCGGCCGCCTCTTGATCGAAATGGCCGCTGCGACTGCGGATAGAAATGGCGTGACGTGGTCCACATGAGTTAGTCGTGAAGAAAAGACGCGGTTTTTTTTAACAGTCGGGCGAGGTTGGATTTTTATATAAAGCACAAGGGTTGGAGACAACGGGGTTCGGGAGTGGGACAACGAGTGACAACCAGACGATTTTGGGTTGGTGTGTGGTGGGTGGGTTTTGTGTGTGTGTGTGTGCTTTTTTGTTTCTGGAAAGAAAAAAAGCCGACTTGAGACCTTGGTGGGTTGGGTTTTCTTGGCAGTAGCTATACTGGACGTACTGATGGCGTTTGTGCGTCAATACTTCAAGTACCATCAGGACGAGATACAATGTGCTGGAAGTTGAGGGTGAAGATTGATGTCACGCAGTCATATGTTGTCGGAGGAACGTTCGGTCGAGCGGGTGTAATCTAGCGGGCAAGCAAACCCGACTCACGTCTCAAAGCAGCAGGAACGGCAAAGCCTGGTTGCATGATCATGGGTTTTTCTGGGCGTGACGTGAACACGACGGCACTATTTCGCGACATTTCGCTCAGCAAGATGTTTAAAACCCAGTGCAGAGATGGAAAGAAAAAAGCAGCGGCGACAAAGCAGTGGCTCCTGGGATGCTCAAAAGCGCTTTTTTCATCGCACAACATACCTGCGCTCCGAGCAATCCGATCAGAGCGACACCAGCAGTAGACGTACTGACTTGTTCTTAAAGCAGTACATCCGCAGCTGTTTCCCTTTTCGACCGCGATTCATCACATAAAGTTCCACAGACTCGAAACTCCATTCCCTCTACGACTTGATCAACATCCCACGTGAGCCCATGGCGCAGTCGGCCAATCCACACGACGACCCGCATCGGTCGCTCGATTGTTGTTGGTTTGTTCGGCTCTGTGAGTGTCACAACCCGATAAAAGAGCGAGAGCAGCATACAAACATCACGTCAATCCGACTCCACACTGTTTGCACATCACTCCCTCCGCTCATTCCGCAATCGACAGTCTACAACCGAACCGACTATCCGATAGCCAGTCAGTCAGTCACTCTGATAGTCAGTCGTCAATCAGGACGTCACTTGCGTCTCCTCGTCTCTCCAATAGCGCAATAGCCACGCACACACACACCTAGTCAAGGCCGTAACACACACACCGTCTTCGCCTCTTCCTCGATCACTCCCTCGGGTCCCAATGACGGTGTCCCCCCTCACTACCCCCTCCACCGTCCTCTCTTCATGCTGCAGCTCTTTGCAGTCCACAGTCGTCCCACCCTTGCCTCAAATGGCACAAACCCGAGCTCGGGCTCGATCATCATTTTCATTGTCATGCCTGTTGTTGTCGTTCTGTGTGGGATCGTCGCGTTCTTTGTCTGGAAACGCAAGCAGTACCACAGTAAAGACCGCGGGTACGGCCTCCCGTCCATCACCACGCAGAGCTCCAACGACAACACTGTGTTCAATCAAGACTTGGACTCGGTCTACAGCAGTCATCGACAGAAGGACCGGAAATCAGGAGCTCGACCATCTGCTTATCTTTCAAACCAGCAGCGAGAAGATCCCCGCTCTCTTCAGTGGCCAGCCAATGGAGCCCCGACGTACACTCGTCAACAAGAGCAGCAGCAGCAGCAAGAGCAACAAGAGCAGGACCCAGCGTACTATCCGTCGTCGCAGTACGAGAGTCACTTTGATGCCCATGATTCGTACCCCCCTCCTCCTCCTCCGGAGATGCCAATGCTCGAACCTCAAGGGGATTTCGAAGGTTCCGGTCTCTCAATGATGGAGCTCCAGCAGAGTCGTGCGATGAGACGCTCGAGTTTGGAAGACAGGAAGCGGAGACAGACGGACCCGGCTGTCGTTGCACGCACACAAGAGGCAGCTGAAAAGGTGATGGCTGAGCTCGAACGCGAGCCAGACTTTGAAGAGAGCTGGATCCCCTACGACTCGCTGTACTTTACACGGGCCATTTCGAAGGGAGCTTTCGGCGAGGTGTGGCTCGCGCAGCTGGAGAACACGCAGGTGGCTGTGAAGAAAATCCTGGATGAGAAGAAACACGATGTCAAGGAGATTGAGTGTTTCGGGGCAGAGATTAAACTCATGGCACTGTTGAAACACCCGAAGATCGTGCGCTTCATCGGCCTCTCGTGCAGTGACAAGCAGGATCTGTGCGCAGTGACGGAGTTTATGGCAAAAGGTGATTTGCACGGGTACTTGGAACGTCGTAAAGCCAAGATCACGTGGCCTGCGGACAAAATCTGGTTGGCTGAGGATATTGCTGAGGCTTTGGGGTACCTCCACTCGCTGTCGCCCAAGGTCATTCACCGCGACCTCAAGTCGAAGAACGTTTTGCTGGACAGCAAGTACCGTGCAAAGCTGAGCGACTTTGGTATCAGCCGAAAACGCTCGTTAGAGTCGACGATGACGGCAGGTGTTGGTACGATCTATTGGACCGCTCCTGAAGTGCTCATGGGCAAGAAGTACACGGAGAAGGCTGACATTTACTCGTTCGGTATCGTCATGTCGGAGATGGACACATGTGAAGTCCCGTATTCGGACAAGCGCGATAGTGACGGCAAGAAGCTGCAGAGCATGAAGATCATTCAGTTGGTCATTCGGCAAGCACTTCGACCGACGTTCTTAGGGACTTGCCCCGAGCAGATCAAGGCATTGGCACGTCGTTGTCTGGACGCCGACCCGGACACTCGACCAGATGCATCGGAGCTGCTCAAGTTTCTGCGCAGTGTTCATGACGATTTACAGCAGCAGTAAAGGGCACTTGGAAGAGGACTTGCACGCAAAGGGTGAGGAAGACCATTACTCATGGACCTCTTCGTCCAGGCTCAGCTTGCCCACGAGTATTTAAGTTTTTTTTACAAGAAATACGCAAATGCAGGTCACGAATCGAACTGCTAATGCGTCAGGACATGTCCATGACTGAACGTGGTCGTACGAAAACTGTATCGACGACAGCGGTCGTCCAGCCTCTGCAGCTTGCGAGGCTGTACGATGGATAAAAAAAGCGTTTCTTTCGCGCATGAAAACAGACTGAAGTAGCGCTATGTGAGCTGCTGACTGCTTTGATTTACGGCAGATGCTTTTCCAGCAGCTGCAGCACATTCCTGCGTTCAACATGGTCAGACGCAAGCTGCTACTTAAGAGCTCTTTTCGAAACATCAAGGAGTCACCATCTGTTTGTTCCTGATTGATTCGACACACTATCGGGAATAAAAAAAGCAGACAGAAGGAACTGGGGGCCGCAAAAAACCCGGTTTCCGTCTTGTCAGGTGATCCCAACAAGCTTAAGTAACAATCGCAGCCAGCTTTGCCACCCCGTCCAGCTGAGAAACGAGATCGAAACCGCCTCTCGAGCGTTTCCTTCTCTCGTCAAGGGGGCCCTTTCGAGCTTGATCTGGCCCCCCCCGCTCTCGTGTCAGTCCCCTCGTTGTAATCAACTTGTACAAGTTCATCAACTATACCAATCCCTCCCTCGATCCAAATCCCCTCACCCCGTCTCTCCTCCATCTATTTATTGTCACAGTCTATCAACTCTCGCCCTCCACCCCACGCCATCCCACGCCATCCCACACATCGAGTCAGTCCGTCACTTCCCTTGTCACACGCACTTGCCCCATGGGCTTCATCGCCTTTTTCACGTGCGGGAGCTGCGCCAGCCGTCGCAAGCGCGGCCACGACAACTTCCCCGACACCATCACGATCCCCACCGTGTCGTCCACGCAGCCCCACAACGCCGCGCTCGCCCACGCGCATCCCTACGAGGTCCACTACAATACCAATAATGGTACCACTACCAATACTGGTACCCCCGACGGGGTACCCCACGGGGGTACGCGTCACCCCTCCTCCCACGACGCCCCGTCCAGTCAAAACAGCACCAGTGACGATCGCCAAAAGACGCGCCAGGCTTCGCGTGCGTACCCCCGCGTCTCCAGTGGCCGCGCTCGTGCTACTTCACGCCCCCCCGCCCAGCCCGATGCCCCACGACGGGTCCCCTCTCCCGCACGCGACGCCGCCGCCGAGCCAAGACGGGAAGAACCGCGACGCCGAGCTCACGCACCAGTCGCGCCAAGTCGCGAGTCGCGTGCTCGAGCAGTTCCAAGCCGACCCGACGCTCGGCCGCAGCCGCATTCCGTACGCGTCGCTCTACTTCACGCGCGTGCTGAGCAAAGGCGCGTTCGGGGAGGTGTGGCTGGCCCAGCTGGAGAACCGCCAAGTGGCGGTGAAGCGCATTCTGAACGAGAAGAAGAACGACGAGCGCGAGATCGAGTGCTTTGGCGCGGAGATCAAGCTCATGGCGTCGTTCTCGCATCCGAAGATTGTCGAGTTTGTTGGCGTGTCCTGGAGCTCCATGCAGGACGTGTGTGCAGTGACCGAGTACATGAGCAAAGGGGATTTGTACGGCTTTTTGAAGCGACGACAGGGGCAGCTGAACTGGCGCGACCACAAGATCTACTTGGCCGAAGACGTGGCGGACGCACTGGGGTATCTGCACGGGCTGTCGCCCAAAGTGATCCATCGGGACCTCAAGTCGAAGAACATTTTACTGGACGACTCGTTCCGTGCGAAGCTCAGTGACTTTGGCATTAGTCGAGAACGCTCGGTGGAAGACACGATGACAGCTGGAGTAGGTACGATCTACTGGACGGCACCGGAAGTGTTGATGGGCAAGAAGTACACAGAGAAGGCCGATATCTTTTCGTTTGGGATCGTCATGTCGGAGCTTGATATGCATGCCGTGCCGTATTCGGACAAGCGGGACAATGCGGGCAAGAAACTCCAGGGCATGAAGATTGTACAGATGGTGATCCGACGGAATTTGCGACCGACGTTTTCGCCAGAGTGTCCACCGCTCGTGAAGGAGCTCGTGGACCGCTGTTTGGACTCGGACCCGGACGTGCGACCTGGAGCAATGGAGCTGCTGCGGATCATTCAGCGTATGCAGCGCCTTTTGTGAGTCGAGTCGCACCAAAAAAGGCTGGAAAGGCGTGTACATTTGGAGGAAGGACGGACGAGTGGACGCTGCTTGATCGAGTGACGAATGGATCGGGCACTTGGCGCGGTACGATCTCGAAAGCAGTGGATACGACGGGAAGGAAGAAAAAGAAGAAGAAGCTGCGCGGCCATGTCAAGCGCGTCGGTGTCATGCTATGCTGAGCCATTGAACTCATTTATTGCTGATTTTATTCGCCCTTGATTCTCTGGTACGCAAGAGCGACTTGCGCTCTGTCAATCGCTGCAGTTACTTCAGGGTGATTGTGGAGTCTGATGGACCTGTTTCCGCAACGTTTTTGGCAGTATCAGGCTCGGATTTGATGTGCAAAATCAAGAGATCGTCGTGTCGTGTTTATCCTATAAAATGCGAATGTATTTGTAGTTTCGCCACACTTGTGTAGGTTCAGCTCGATAGTTTATAGCTTCGTCCGACTGACTGACTACCTGGAAGCAAAAAACGGCTTTGCTGGTCTTGTCCTCGACAATGGCTTGTAACTCATCCTCCCAGCTGTATGATAAATGAATACCGAGGCAGCACCATCATGAGCCATGCACGGAGTTCAGTTGAGTGCTAGTCCAGCTGCTCGCTTCTCACACGTGTCATTGTGAATGCAGAAGAAAACCATCAGCGCTTCTTGCATTGCTCCTTGATGTTGCTCACGTTGACACCCCAGAGAGCTGCCAATGCAATGGGGAAAGCCAACCACGCCAACGTCGTAGCTTGGGTAGGCAGCTTCGAGTTGGCCGCACGAAACCGCTTCCTCTCCATGAGATTCGTCGCCCTTCGTCCAATTGCAGCCGGTGCAACGTGAGACCGCAGTCGATGGAACTGCGCCGTCGTAAAGCGTTCGTACGAGTTGAGACCTCCAAACATCTCGTGCACGTCTTGCGAGCTCATAGGTTTGTACTTGCCAGCCAAGTGCAGAGCTTCTTGCGTCGCTTTGTCTTCATTTGAAGCAGCTGAGATACCAAACATGTCCATGTCATACTTGACACGAGCGACATCGTCACTGAGCAAGTCGTATGCAGCATTAATGCGGAGAATCTGAGCGTTCTGTTATCATGCACATGCAGTATAAGCGTCAGTGCTAGCCTGCATATAGAAACCAAGCACGATAGAAATTGCTGTTTATGTAAAAACTGCCACCTACTTTTCCATCTTGACGTTGAGAAGAGCTGGTCGACTTTTTGATATTCGATCGATCCGGATGGTGTTCCAGGACTGCATAAATAGTGTCAGGACTCGGAAAAAAAAGAGAACGAAACAGGATACAATAGAAACGACAAAGGACGCACCGAGCTTGCGGTACGCGACCTTGATGTCGTCTGCAGACGCAGAGCGATCGACGCCCAGCACGTCGTAGTGATTTGGCTGCAAGTGGGTCCTGTCGTGCGCTGCCATGGTCACACAAAGGCAAGAGCTTTTTGTGTTGTGGACACGTTTCGACCGACTGCGGTATTGATAGGGCACACAGTATATAAACAGTCACAATCCATTTCTAAAAACAGCTTTGCACGATCGCATAATCGCGTAACGACTTGCTTTGAGTCCTTTTATATACTTGGGAATCGGAAACACTGTTTTGGTTCTTTGTATGTAAACCTGCTGATAAAGACCCCCAAGTGTTGCTGTGACTGCTTGACGAAGAGATGGTAGAGACGGATGGATAAAACCCCTGCATAGTGATAAAAAGATGAATGCAACGGCTCGGTCGGCTTCAAGGCTTTAGATGACCTTGCAACTATAACATCAAACGCTACACGCGGAACTGCTCCTGCCGAGAATCGTCCAAATGACGCTGTCACATCACACATCCATCATCAGTGGCAGCGTTACCTGTTTCAAACAACTGCAAAACGCTACAAACCTTGAGGTAAAACTCCAGCTGATCTTTTGTCACACTTGGCAAATCCTCGGACGAAGCCGCCGAGAAGCGTCCAGTCCGACTGGCAGTACTGGTAGACGACTGCGTGTCGTCAGAAAGCGGTTCTCGGTACTTTTCGTGGTCATCTATTCGTGCCCACATCATCATCTGCTTCTGGAACGCACTGCAATACGACAAACGACGGGGTCAGAGTGAAACAGCTACTTTTTACAGGCCGCGCAGCATCGCACCTGGTCGACTCGTCACTGTCTTCACGAACAGTGTTAAATCCTTGGACTTGCAATGGATGACGGTAGGGCTGCACTGACGGGACAGGCTGCCGGTTCGCCCGACCGAGCAGTGGGCGCGAGCCTTTTGGAATAAATACGACCTGTTGGGCGCACGATCAGTACGTGCAGAACCGTCAGTGCATCATGTAGAGTCGGCCGTATCCAAACGTATTGAAGTATACGACACGACGAAGACTGTCAAGCAGCCAACTCAGCAGTAGTCGCACCTTCATGTCTTCAAAATTCTCGTCTTCCACGCAATACACGTTCACTGCAACGCAGTCTGGCTGTGCACTGTCAAACTGGAAGATATGAACACCTGCATCATCACGCATCAAGCCAAGCCATCGACGAGTAAGTCAAGTGAGTCACTTCAAACGAAATCTCTCGCATCCAACACTTTGTAAAGCACAACCTACCGCACGTGGCACAGAAGACGTGCTGGCACAGCGTCGTTTGACTCTCATACAACGACACATCCGGCGACTCCATCATCTCAAAGCACGATGTCGGGATCACCTAGCCACCAAACCAGCAGCCACAACCACAGCCACGAACCACAGTCACTCAGATCTCTCTCCACCACCACCATGTACACATCATCATCATCATCCAACGCACCAGAAAAGGGAATCGCCCCTTCTTACACGAGAACGTATTGCTGTCATCAAATGCCTCCACTCGTTTCGGTGCAAGGACCATAAACCTAGCAACAGTATACACACGACACAAAACACGAGCAACACAACAGCGTCAGTTCTCTCTGCTCCACTGGACCATGCAATCGATCCACAGCATCTCCTTCATACCGCAACGAGCCACAGTCGCAGCCTCCTCGGTGCTGGAATAATGGCAACTTGGGCATCCCATACTTCTTCCTATCTCAACCGAAAAAAATAAAACATCCGTATAGTCACAGTCCGTCAGCCTGATTGTATACAGAAAACCGGTATTTTTACATGGTACGTCACGTCCTGCTCGACGTACTGATAGAACACGTCCTTATGCCCGCCATCCAAGTCACAGCGCTCCCACTTGTCGTGATTGGTCCGCACGCTCCGGTATACTTCACGTAACTGCAGTCGAATAAATGGGTTGGACGTATACAGGTTAGTATACGACAACAACAAAACCTTGTTGAAATATCGACCCGGTCATCATGGTTTGTAGTTGTGATATTGTCGTGTGTGTGTATACCAGAAGCAGTCCCACGCCCAGCATCAAAGTCGATAGCGCGCCGATTGCGCGGTCTACTTCGCGCACCATGCCGCCGTTCGTCATTGTAGAGACGGTAGGAAGAAGTAGCTACAGAGAGAGAGCGAGAGAGAGAGCGAGAGTAAAGGCAGAGCGGTCGGTCCACGCCGCTTGGGGGCAGCTCGAGAACCCCTTTTTATTATTTTGGTATAGGTCGTATACATGTCGTCGGTTCATTATCCGTAGAATACCGGTACCACGGTTAGCGACTTCTGGAAATATATGTCGAGTTTCTTATTATCTAGCCAATGATAGATAACTTACCATGTGCTACGTCTTTATTTCATGGCTACATGTCGAGCACCTGCTTGCATCGATTGAGACTTTCGGTCATATGATGAGCTATTGGCTGGGTGGGAATCCATGATTCGATCGAAGGGTGCAGTACTTTGTTTGTCGCAATACGGAGTCGACGTGCTCGAGCTTTTGTCCGAGTTGATACCACCAGAAGCAAGAGCACTGGCATCAGCGCGATCTGAACTGCGATGCAAGTGTCGTGAGTACCAGGCCAGGAGGTAGAAGATCAGCGCTGTGCCTACGAACAGCACGAGCGTCGATACGGGCGACGCCGTCGAGTGAAAGTTGAACAGGTCGTCGCTCGGTTGGTGTCCGCTGATAACCCACAAGAACTGGATCAAGATCCAGAACACGGGCCACATGAGCACTAGAAACACATGGTTGGCTTTAAACCGCGGTGCTGTAAAGTAAAAGTCCACGCCCACTATTGCCAGATGCAGCACGTTCCCGATCACGTGAAGACCCGGCAGTGAAATGTGCGAGTATGGCAACGTCACGACCCTATCGAAAGTACAATACCAACGTCAAATAGCAGACAACCCACAAGATGACGTTGGCAACAACAACAACAAAGTCGCTGTGATACATAGCAGCACCACTTACCAGAAGAAGACGAATGCCACGACAGCAGACGTCGTCGATCCCTCAAAGAAGACCCAGTCGAGGATCTCCCACGAGCATGCAGACGGTCGTCGATAATGCAAAAGGATCCGAGGTCCATTGAACGTCGGTTGGTAAAGATGCACAGCTGCTATCTACGTCGAAAAGACCACAACACATCACCGTGCACATCGAAGTTGTCACTACATTTGTCGCGTTTCCTTGCATATACACAAGAGCTTTTCAATATCCACAAGAGCTTTTCAATATCCACATCGACTTTTTCGTACCCACATTGCAATGACGGAATACAATGCTGACATTGGACCGAACAATAAGAGCGGTGGTGTCTGTTCTCGTCCGTCACTAAATTCGCCTTCCCACGCCAGCCCCAAACACTGGAAAAAGACACAGCCGACAAATCTAGTTGACGCAAATTGACCCAAAACATGAGAACAAGAAACAAGTGATCAAATGAGAGACAGAATTTAGATGTGCGTGTCTGTTTTTTGGGTCTAGAAAAAGCACCACGTCTTCGTCGTACATGCCAAGAGCACACGACAGCTTCCATCCGACGCGCTGGTTCCTTGTAAAGTGCGATAGCTTCGTATACCTCGTCGTGTGGTACGGACTTTTGCCGTGAAAGAAGTTCAAACAGTCATCCCAGGCGTCCAGCCAATCGACCGACACCATACCAACAAGACTTGCCTCGCGTGTGTGTGTCAAAATTAATAATTGACCCTTGTTGAACCCACTCGAGTCTAATTTTTGCCAAATTCGGTGATCAGAGCTCTTCGATTTGAATTGTGCCTTTTTGAGTCAGATTGTTGCGTTAGTCGTCGCGCGTTGGAAAAGTAAAGCCAAAGCCAAAAGGGCTGACGGTTGTTGGTCGAGTTGAGCCAAGCGGTTTTAATGACAGTGCCCATGGTGCCTTTTCATTGTCCCGGACTTTTCCCGAATCGATCAGCAGTTCCCACTTCGACTTTCGGTGCTTTCGCTCATATTCTTCCTCCAGCTCTTTGTTCACCTTGGCAAACAGCTCTGGAACATTTCGAGCGAGCACGTCTCGAAACAATCTGCCAAGCTCTTGACGTTGCTCCACGGGACAACCCGATACTTGATCCGGCTTTTCATCAAAGAAAGCCAGCACACTCTTTACATTGCAAGAGCTAACAAAGTTTTGCGTCACTGCAATACTCTCCTCGATATTTAGTACCGTGTGCCACCATCCGTGCGGTACGAACATGACCTCGCCTTCTCGACAGATACCTTCCAATGGCTTCAAGTGCGCCGGTAATTGCTGACACATCTTGTAAAACGTCATGAACCACTCCATCAACGACACTGGAGCAGACACTTCACTTCCATCCTCACTCGGGTGGATCCCAGGCGGTACTTGGCCAGGAGGGAACATGATCCATTTCTTCCGACCGCGAATGGCACCATTCCACGCGTTCGTCGCGTTCGGATCGATGTGAAAACTCGATCCCGATTTCGCGGGACCAACGATGAGCCAGCGGTAGTCAGGCCGTCTCGCCTCGCCAAGAAAGGCGAAGTAGTCGTCGCGGAAGTACTTGGGCACTGTGTAGTCTCGAGCGAGCTGCGATACTTTGCCAGCAAACTTTTTATCAAAGATAAAAAGCGGTTGGTCGTCCTGTAACGTGCGCGCATAGTTGAGATACTTGTCCAAAGGGAACTGGAACCCACCCGCGTCAAACGTTGTGCTACCACAGACGTCTTCTAAGTACTTGTCCGTCCATTTGGTCATTGCTGACCAGTCATTGATCGCATCCGTAATGATAACGGGTACATTTGGACCTTCAAACTCGTTTCGAAAGACTTCGAGCGTCATGTCTTTGGCACTACGACGTGCCACGTTCTCTACTGCTAACCACGTCTCTTCGATCGGTGCAGCCGCACAGTAAAATGACTGGAACAGCAGGTCGGAGTACAGTCCCTGCACACAAATTGGCGCTCCCAGTCGCACGTTGTTGCCGTACTTGGTTTTCAGATACGTGGCTTTCCACGTCGATTCTGGCTCAAAGTGAGCGTGCATTTCCTCCAGCACGAGCACTCGCCACAGCTCGTCGTGAGTGGCAAAGACATAGGCAGCACGACTACAAGCTGCCAAGTTGGCCAAGTCCATGGCTGCGCAGTGGCTCAAGAATGACAGTATCTGACTATCCTGAAATACGGCGAGATTTCCTAAACCCGGAGCACGGCAGTCGACGACGCCATTGACCGCGTCTTCAAAGTAGTTGCCAATTGGTTTGACACCCAGTGGATGTGACAGACAACCTTCTTGAGTGCAGGTGGACTTGTTGCTGTCGTTAAGTGTTGCACTTGATGCAATTTTGACACGTTTGGGTGCAGGTGGACCGCTGCTCTCGTCCATTGGTCCAGTAGTGATCAACTGGAGATGAGGAATAACAGCGAATGAATTGCGGCTCGAGGATTTGATCACACCCGCATTTGAAGCTACGTGTACTATCGAAGAAAACACCAACAAGTCATGAAAAAAAAGACGGATGAAAACAATTCGGATGGCTTCCGTGTCTATAGATCGACTGGGTATTTTGAAAACTCTTCACACGAAACTCCCTATTCTCGCCTTCGTTATCGGCAGTCTGTATTGACACCTCCTTCAAAAGCTGCACATATCTGCCAACCTTCTCGAAATGCACCTGCATCTCCATACTAAAGTCGCGAATAAACTGTTGCGCGACCCCACGCTTCCATCAAGCCAGACCTGCAGCCGATAGACGACAAGAAACGACGTCACCTCGTTGCATCAGTCACGTCCATTTCAGTGCCGGCCGTCCCGAGGCAGTTATATTCCCAGCACACACTACCGACATAGGTGTCATCTCTAGATCGAGGCAGATCAAAAGGGTATCGCAGCATCTAGATATCAGAAACAAAGCAGCAAAGAGGCCGTTTCCTGACACGGTAACGTCAAGGAACCACTAAACCGCACCAAAAAGAACGATGGATATACCAGAACTTCTTCATATTATGAAGCGTCCGTGTCCCATACAATTGGTCCACGTAGGTGCGACAACCACCGTCTCCTTTCCCCAGCTCGAAAGCGACAGGTCAGTCACAAATACACACATACATACATACATACATACATACAACACACAGCCAAGAAACAAGACGGGTGGTCACCGCTACCAGTCGGCTCTCATTGGTCGACAGTGTCCCATTTTCCGTTCTTTTCATTCGTCAAAACAACATCCCTTCCGTCGTTCCCATTCGCTGAAACCTCGCGTGGCCACCCCTCCGAGCCCTTTCCCGCGTCCCCGTCATTCGTCAACTCGCCTGCAAACGCCCTCACAACGTTTCCAGTGGACCCAGACGCTTGCGCCACTAACCTACCCCGCCTCGAAAGAAAAGCCATCGTGCCCCCCTCTCTCTCTTGACCTTTTCAGTCCTTCTTCTTGCCCTTTACAATGCGTGAGATCCTGTCCATCCACCTCGGTCAAGGCGGTATCCAAGTCGGGAATGCCTGCTGGGAGCTCTACTGCCTCGAGCACGGGATCCAACCGGACGGTCAAATCCCCAGTGACTCGAGCGCCATGGGCGACGATTCGTTTTCGACCTTTTTCTCGGAAACCGGTTCGGGGAAACACGTCCCACGGGCGGTATTTGTCGACCTGGAACCGACGGTCTGTGACGAGGTGCGGACCGGTACATACCGCCAATTGTACCACCCGGAACAGATCATTTCGGGCAAAGAAGATGCAGCGAACAATTACGCTCGAGGTCACTATACCATTGGCAAAGAAGTAGTGGATCTCGTCCTCGATCGCGTACGCAAACTTGCAGATGCGTGCACGGGACTCCAAGGCTTTATGGTGTTTAACGCCGTTGGCGGTGGTACTGGCTCTGGACTTGGCTCGCTGCTGCTCGAGCGGCTCTCGGTCGACTATGGCCGCAAGAGCAAGTTGGGCTTTACCATCTACCCCTCGCCTCTGGTCTCGTCCGCTGTTGTCGAGCCCTACAACTCGGTGCTGTCGACGCACGCTCTGCTGGAGCACACGGACGTGGCGATCATGCTGGATAATGAAGCCATTTACGACATTTGCCGTCGGTCGTTGGACATTGAACGGCCGACGTACGCCAATTTGAACCGGCTTATTGCTCAAGTGATTTCGTCGCTGACGACGTCGCTCCGCTTTGATGGGTCGTTGAACGTGGACATTACCGAGTTCCAGACCAACTTGGTGCCGTATCCCCGAATCCACTTTATGTTGAGCTCGTACGCACCAGTGATTTCGGCTGAAAAGGCTTTCCACGAACAGCTGTCGGTCGCGGAGATTACCAACAGTGCTTTTGAGCCCACGTCGATGATGGCGAAATGTGATCCGCGTCATGGCAAGTACATGGCCACTTGTCTCATGTACCGAGGTGATGTTGTCCCTAAGGATGTGAACGCTGCCGTGGCCACGATTAAGACCAAACGCACTATTCAGTTTGTCGACTGGTGCCCTACTGGTTTCAAGTGTGGTATCAACTACCAGCCGCCGTCGGTGGTGCCAGGTGGTGACCTTGCTCGCGTGCAGCGTGCGGTGGCGATGATCTCGAACACGAGCGCCATTGCCGAGGTGTTCTCCCGCATCGACCACAAGTTTGACCTGATGTACGCCAAGCGTGCGTTCGTGCACTGGTTTGTGGGTGAAGGCATGGAAGAAGGTGAGTTTTCCGAGGCTCGCGAGGACCTCGCGGCGCTGGAAAAGGACTACGAGGAGGTGTCGGCGGAGACTGCCGACGGCGAAGGCGAAGATGAGGAATTCGGTGAAGAGTACTAGTCGGCTCGAGAGCTGTCATCGAGCTAACTGAGCAGTTGAGTAGCGCTCCTACATTCCCAGTGCTGTCTGTCTTCAGATAAGCTACTAAAGCCACACCTTTTCAACTCTGGATTGTTGTGTAAAAGACACGTAGTCCTTGGTACTGATACCACGTCGAAAGTCATCACTAGCTCCAGCGTATCAAGTGTTTTCTACCCGATTATTTCGAATGATTGAATGCCCTGTAGCTTTGCGTGGTACTGACTGACTATCACACGGTTGAAACAAGGATCATGCGAAGGTGTGTTGTAGTACGGGACGGTGCGTCCGCCCACCTTTTCGCATTGCATCTCGTATTTGATGGCCATTGCTGGATAAGCTTTGCCTGGGAGTGCGAACACAAGTAAGTAGGCAATATGTTCGGCATGTACTTCGAGGACTACGAACAGGCCCAACAAGAGGCTTTGAAGTCCATTGGCGAGTACACACACGCTGCCGAGTCAGGTACGCTTGACAATCCCTGATATGCTTTACAGATCCCATACTGATTGTTGCCGGATAATGTGGCCACTAGCCAAGCGCAAGCAGTTGGCCGTGCTTGCGAAACACAGTATCGACGAAGTTGAACGATACGTACGTTGCATGAACGAATGCGTAAGTTAGAAGTCCTCGATGCCAACATCTACTTTGGACGTATTGATAGATCCGCATCTTGGAAAATGAGGCAAAGAATGGGTCGTCCATCACGAAGAAAAGAAGGATGATGGAGCAGGTGCGTCAGTGCCGAACCAAATGGTCCGCTTTAAAGACGTCGTTCGAGAAGGAGTTGCTAGCGGAAACTACTCGAGCGAGGGAATTGTCCCAGTCATCGATGGATGGAACTTCCACGGTACATTTCGTGTGTGAGCTGGAGAAGATGCCAACGTATCTCATGCTTAATGCTTGGTCGCGATTGTACAGACTGAGCAACTCGAGAGTTGTGCTGCGCACATTGACAGGTTCGTCGTATCTGGAGCATCGATTGAAGGCACGGCACGCTAATGCTTCATTTCACTAGAACTGGGCGTCATTTGGATGAAGCGCAACGCACTCTTGTCCACACGGAAGCCATCGGTACGAACATTGTACAATGACATGTTGTTTCTTCCTCAAGAGCTCATTTGTGCCTGACAAACCTCGAAGCGGAGAACGTTGCCAACAACTTGCTACAGCAACACGATCAATTGGAACGGACCGAAGTGAATGTGCGTGCACCATCACTGACAAAGCCTGGAGTGGGAACGTTCGTTTGATACCCATTTCTCGTTGTTCCTCTTGTAAATCGTACACGTAGATCACGCAAACGCAGGATGACACGAAGGAGGCAAAGAGCCACCTCCGTTCGATGGCGTTCAGGGCGTGCACCAGTCGAGTTTTGCTGCTTCTGGTGATGCTGGGACTCGTGGTCGCCATCATTTTGGTCTCGTACTACCGATGGTACCCAAGCAACCAGAAAGACTACTTGGGAATCTTACCCAACTCGACTGACTCCGGATCCGGTAGCGGTATAGTTGCCCAGTGAATTGATAATGAAAGAGACCGACAATCGGTGCCATAAGGAGATCCCAAGAGCAATACAGCAAACTGCTTTCGTGCAAACAAACATCATCAGTTAATCACCAAGACCACGACGCAATCGAAACGTACTCAATGAGCAATAAATGCACTGGCGGCGACGCAGCATTTGACTGATGACGACGATGCAAAGGTGGCTTGATCCACGCGTGAGGGGGCGTCAACCATCTTTTCGGCTTCACAATCAGTCAAACAACTCGCGCGTTTATCAACTAGGGTTTTGTCGAGTCTGCGGCGATGCGGGCAAGGTCATCGTCGACCTCGTTCCACACGGTATTGTCCGAAGGCAGTGATGTTGTGGCTGCTGCCGATTGCCGTCATGGCATTTGCTGGATGATTGCTAGTTGCGGCATTACAGTTGCGCTCACACCGACGTGAGAAAAGATCTACTGGACAGCAAGACGATCGATAAAAAAAGGTAGAGCTTCACAAAGCGTGATGCATGCACGTGAGTCCATGCACCAAACAATTGATACTCATTTTCGGTAGCAATAATGAAAGCCGACTGCTGTGTGAACACTTAGAACGATGCTCTAACTCTGCGATCGACTATGAGGTCCTTGCTTCATTTGCGACTGGATCTAGTGCTAGTTCTGAGCTTTGGGGTGAAAGGACAGAACTTGCCTTGGTGAAGGGGCAAATGTCGACGTAGAGGTAAAATCAATCGACTTAGGTGTCGGTTTGCTGCCAAATACTAGTGTACCAAGATTGTGGGTATGAAGCGTGCTAGATTGTTGAGCACTATTGTTGCGGCTTACGGTCGCATCGCACGGGCAGCTCACATTGGAAGTCGATGTACCAAAAAAGTGATCACTGGATACGTATTTGAGCAATATGTATTCAATTATGGAGGCGAAGAGTGGTACGACGTGAGCCTGTTGCGTGTAATTAGCCCTTGATACTTGTTCGTTACTATCAAAAAGGCTGATAATGTTCGTGAGTACAGTCCTCCCTCCGATAAGTTTCCCCTCGATAAGTTAAAATATCTAGTAGGTTATCGAGTTCCGCGTCCACGGACCTCGTTCTATGTTTACTGTGTTGTAACTTTGAAGTTACAATCAAATTGGGCAATCTGACTTAAAAAATGAGCACTTGTTTTCGTATTATGGAAGCAAAATACTACTTGAACCACATGTCGGAGGTGGTTTACGTGGTGAGAGGTTGCGAAGATCAAGCTGGAGGTTGCGAAGGACTTTATAAGCATCTTGGTGACGATCCTGGGATACGTTAAGCAGGGAACAGGCATCGTGAAAGAGGTTAATCTTCTCGTTTCTTGTAAATTTCCTGCGACAGATGTCGTATCTTAACTGTTTTTGTAACGGGGCACCCTGAAGCTTGTACTGGTGACAGTACAAGCTACTTATTCTGATGACAAAATAAGGCGGTGCCTCGTAACTTCACGTACACTCGTACGTGCAGAGGAAGACGGTAAGAAGAAGCGAGTACTCGGTTAGAGTAAAAAGTAGAACTGTATTTAGTATAGTTAATGTCTGCAATAAATCACTATTTATCTTCATCTAACTATGTCTAAATACAAATGTGTAAATCAATTATCTGCTCACCACTCATTGCGTGCGTCTGTCGTGGCGCGTCTTCGTTGGTTGATATAATGGCCTATATCAACCAATTAGGAACTACTTGTAAGTGCTACAGAATATTTGTCCTTATGATAATATTCTGAGAATATAACTCTTATAGTTATATTCTATTAACAATTTCTTATAAATTGTTATGTAACGATTCACCCCGTTACATCACCCCCCCCCTTAACCATCAGTCACTTTAGTGACTGATTGACTAAATGGATACTCGTCCCAAATCATTTGGGACAGGGTTTGCACTTGTTGGTCCGAGTCCACTCTCCAACATCTCATCGCATGGTTAACAAGCCCATGCGATGCGCGAGCAAGGCCGCCGAGAGCGCGTCCGCACGTCTCTGTGCGGACGCCGAAGCAGAAACCACAGCAACTGATGTCTCATCGGTTGCTGAAGCGACTCAGCCTGTGTCACTTGGTGATACAGGCGCTGGTCATGAAGACACTCATGTCTTCACAGAGTATGAGCTCGGTGTCTCATACTCTCCTGATACGGAAGACGGATCCGTATCGACGGCGATCGAATCTAAGCCGCCTGCCAAACGTGGCATGGATGATGCTATGCGTCGTAGCATCTGTGGTTCATCTGATGAATCAGATGAACCATCGCCGAAGCGAAGGCGCTCGAGGTCGCGAGACTCGGGCGCTAACAGTGGTGTCGGTTCTCCTATTGACACCACTTCACAGCGAGGTGCCAGTACTTCTGTCGGCACGTCGCAGGAAGAGCGGGACCGCAAAGTGTTGCGCCTCGCTCCAGAAAAGAAGGCATGGATGCCTCCTAAATCCGTCATGGATCACTTGTCGGCGACGACGAGTGATCGTTATCGAACACGATTGTTCGATTCATCAAGGATCCATCACCTTGACCCCAGCGCGAAAAACTATCGCGCTGAGAATGAATTCTTCATCGATGCTTTCTTCAAACATCGATGGTACAGTGGGAATCACAAACGTGATGGTCCCTCACTACTTCAGGCGTGGAACGCCTACATCCATAACCTCGAGGATGTAGGTCGTGACGCTTGGAACGACAAACTTATCAAAGCTCGTGATAAGTTTGAAAAGCGAACCCCGACAGGTGCACTCTACAAGCTGCATCGTCTGTCAAGGGAGAAAGGATTACCCTGCCTCTCTTGGGGAGACTCGTGCCCATGTTGTGTGAACAACTCTGCACGAGCACCTAAGGAGGCTTACCTCCTTACCAGCCCGTGGTGGCACGTACGTATCTCTACTGAGATGTACGAAGGGATTGACAACCTGAAATCCCTTTACGACCGTGCCGGGAAGACTTTCTCCGGCGGTCCTTCTGCGGCACAGGATGTGCCGCGTCGTACTGCTCAACCAGACCCAGTACGTCGATCATCAGTTGGGAGCGGGGCTCCCAAGAATCCCAGGACGGGGGATAGCCGCGCCACCGGACGAGATAACTCGTCCGACGTCCGTTCACGTCGCGGTGGTTCAACAGCTGCTCAACTAGATAGCGCTGGCCACCGCGAGAGTCCTCTAATGGAGGTGGAGGAGGAGGAAAGACGCTCTCCACACGATCATGTGGATCGGTGTGTTCCCGAGAGCTTCTTTGATCGCGTAACGCAAGGGTTACGCGACGATCTCGACATGAGCGGAATAGGCGTCTCCAAATGGCGGACACTGCCTTGAAGCATCGAGCTGAGTTTGCCTTTGCTCAGCTCGAGAACGAGAGATCTCTGACATCTCTTCGTGACGAGCTAAGGGTAGCTCGTGGGATTGTTGATCGGTCTCGGGCTGAGATAACTGCTCTTCAGACCCTTGTTGATGCCCACCATCGGGAGCACAAGGCTCTCTGCGAGATGCTTGAGCGCAAGGGCGTTCTTCATCGGAAGAAGCAGCGTACTGATGGTACGGCTTAAGCCGACCAACGTAAAACGTGGGATGCGTTCGCATCTTACGTGGCAACTCGATCGTGTATGCATTGCCTAGGCGGTGCAATACACGAAAAGGGCCGATGTACTTGGGTAGTAGTTTACTGCTACCCAAGTTAGTCACTACATGCTTTGGTAGATTAACCGTAGACAGTAGGACTAAGTCACCTTTATTAAATAAAAGAGTGTTTGCCCTTCCATTCTTGTCAGCGTTTTGCTTTTGCTTATCCATCGCTTCGGCGATGGAGTCTTGCACAAAACGGACTACCGTTTCACGAGCCAGTATGAACTCATCTGATGACTCGTTAGCTTCAGTGTGCTGTGATCGCACTGCAGCAACATCAACCTTTTCTTCAGTGAGGGCTTCCGCACTCTCACTGGGATCATCTTCTTCAGTGAGGGCTTCCGCACTCTCACTGAGATCATCTTCTTCAGTGAGGGCTTCCGCACTCTCACTGGCATCATATTCTTCGATATCGATGTTATCGATATCGGCATCAAACGCAATGACTTCTTCGTCAGAGCGTGATGAGCGTGAGCCAAATCGGTTTTTGCTCGCGCGAGTCCCTCCCCCCCTTAAACCAGAGTTACACTCTAGTAAGGTGGGTACACGCGGATGGCGCAAGCCATTCACGTAAAACGGTGTATGTGTCGTGGACGCATGCACCGAGTTGTTGATGGCAAACTCTACCATTGGCAAAAACTCACTCCAACTCTTAAAGGAGTGTACGTATCCTCGAAGTATCTCTTCAAGGACACGATTGGCACGTTCCGTCTGACCATCTGACTCTGGATGATCAGATGTTGACATCTTCAAGCTCGTTCCGAGTGATTTGAACACGGAACGCCAGAAATCAGCAGTGAATCGTGGATCTCTGTCTGACACGAGTTCACGGGGCAACCCATGAAGTCGGAAGATGGTGTCAATAAAGACACAAGCACAGCCACTTGCCGTGATTGTCTCTGGTACAGCCACAAGGTGTACCATTTTGCTGAATCTGTCAACAAATACGAGAATACCCGTATTCCCGCGTGCGTCTTTGGGTAACCCGAAGACAAAATCCATTGAGATGGATTCTCAGCACTCAGCCGGAACCGGTAGAGGCTGTAAAGGTGCACGCAGTGAAGGACTTGACTTCACTCGTTGACAGACTTCGCATGCGCGAACATACTTTCGCACAAACTGATACTGGCGGGGCCAGTAAAAGTCTCGACTTACCGTGAGATATGTTTTCTCGCGGCCACGATGTCCTCCTATAGGAGCATCGTGATACTCGAACATGATCCGCAAACGCAGATCAGTATCATCTGGAATGACAACACGTGGTGTGTCACCAGAAACGGCTGTATAGTACAGTAAAGCGTTACGAGTAGTGTATCGATCTGATTCAGATCGATACGCAGGCGACAATCGTTTCAACGATTCTCGGGATGGTTGATAGAGATGTGTCAAC